ATCAATGTGTGGGAGGTATACATTGGTTTGGCCCAAAAAGGAGGGCCATCTCGAAGGGGGGGGGGGCTTACAGGTTATAGGTGGGTTTAAAGATTCTTTAGATTGTAATTGGCTAAAGACATGAAGCTTTGTCTAAAGAGGTGGAATGTTTTAACATAAACTGTTTACCAGAGGTAAGCCACCATTTGTTGCAAATAGAAGGCCTGCAGGTTTGTCTTGCATACCCTCAGGCCTATTAATGGGTTACAAAGGAAGTCTCCAAGAAGGGAGGGGGGCATGATAAGGCCTGTCTGACCTCCCTCCTCCTGGCAGGCAACTTTGCCCTTGAATATTCCTCTGGCCACGAGGGGGTCCATTCAGTCAGCCGGTAGGGGTTGAGGATTTTAGTTCACACCACCTATTTTTATAAATAAGTCTTATTGAAACACTGGCATGCCCATTTGTTTCTATATTGTCTGTGGCTGCTTTTACACTACTGTGGAAGAGTTGAGTAACTGCTACAAAGACCATATGGTCCACAAGCTTAGAATATTTACTATCTGGGCCTTCACAGAAAAAGTTTGCCAGCCCCTAGTGGATTATATTGAACAGTGGCTCCAAAAAGGTGTGTTCAAGTCCTAACCCTCAGTATCTGTGAATGTGATTTGATTTGGAAATAGGGTCTTTGCAGATGTAACTGAGATCTCAAGATGAGTGCCAGGCAGGGTGGCTCGCACCTGTAATCCCAGCACTATCGGAGCCTAAGGCAGGAGGATCACTTGAGGCCAGAAGTTTGAGGCCAGCTTGGGCAACACAGCAAGATCCATCTACAAAAAAATTTTTTTAAATTAGCCAGGCATGGCAGCACACATCTGTAGTCCCAGGTACTTGGGAGGCTGAGGCAGGAAGATCATTACAGCACAGGAGTTGGAGGGTGCAGTGAGCTATGATCGAGCCACTGCACTTCAGCCTAGAAGATAGAGCAAGACCCCATCTCTAAAAAAAATGGTTTTTAATTAAAAAAAAAACCAAAAACCTCAAGATGAGATCATCCTGGATTTAGGGTGTGCTCTAAATAATCCAATGACTGGTATCCTCATAAAAGAAAGGTAAGAAAGATATGAGATACAAACTGGCAGAGACACCCAGGGAAAAAGGACATGTGAAGATGGAAGCAAATATTGCAGGTTTACTCCCAAAAACCAGGGAACACCAAAGGTGGTCAGCAGACATCCCAAGCTAGGAGGGAGCCATGGGACAGATTCTCCCTCAGAGCCCCCAGAAGGAACCAACACAGCCAACACCTTGATTATGGACTTCGTGCCTCCTGAACTGTCATAGAATAAATTTTGGTTGTTTTAAGCCACTAAATTTATGGTAATTTGTTGCAACAGCTGAAGTAAACTAATATACCTGGTACGGATTATCTCTGGAAGGATACACGAGAAACTAGTAACTTTGGTTGCTGATGAGAAGAGGGACAAGATGGCTAAGAAACAGGAGGTGAAGGAGACTTTTTATCCATATACTCTTTTGAAACTCTGGAAAGTTGAGCTATGTGAATGTATTACCTCTTGAAAAATAAATAAAATGTAAATAGAAAAGTTAAATAATTCCTAATTGGTCTAGCCCAGAAAAGGAAGTCACCTCTGATTGTAGCAAGTGTCTAAAACAATCACCATGCTGCATTTTTTACCTGTTGTTGCTCAGCTCTGACCAGCTAAAATGGTCCCCTCATCCTGCTGGTGTAGCTCCCAGTGGATGGCCTCACCAGGTCACTTCATGTCAACAGCATAGCTAGATGAAGTCACTCTGCTGAAGTGTGTGTGTGTGTGTGTGTGTGTGTGTGTGTGTGTTGGGGCACAGGGGTCTTCTGTACACTCTGATCCAAAATAAATCTCCCATCTGTGCACTTTGCTTGTGCTCCTGGCTCCTAGTCCAGGCTACCATCTTCTTTCACCAGGAGAGTGCAGTAAACTCCTAATTTCTTACTCTACATCCATTCTTGCCACCTTCCAGTCATTCTCACCAAAGAGCCAGTTCATGTCCCTTCTTTGCTTTGCCATCTTTTACAGTTTCCACTGCAACTGAATCAAAACCAAACTCCCGATTGTGTTCTTGAAGCATTCCACTTAGTCCACACCTATCTTCCTAACCTCAGCAGATACTGCTCTCTCAGTCAGCTCTTTGCTTACTAAATTCCAGCCCAGTGTGAAACAAATCATCCTGTGGATAAGAACCACTGGGAGACTTGGAAAAAAATCCAAGTTGCTAAGCCCTATCCCAGACCCATGAAATCAGGCTTCCCAGAGGAGGCACTTGAAGCTGTGTGTAGAAGCTGTGTGTAGCTGTGTTTAATAAACTCCCTGGGGAATTCTTACTATCTTTGAAGTTCTGGAAACATTCTAAGCTACTCTAGACTTCCCACCTCAGGACCTTTGCACTTGTTCTTTCCATTACCTAGAAAACTCAGCCAGTTTTTTGAATGGCTGATTCCTTCTCATATTTCATGTGTCATTAAAAGGTCACAGCCTCAGCGAGCCCTTTCAAGTCCACTCTATGTTTCCCTCCCCTTCCCTCAGCCATTCCCTATCATATGACCCTGTTTTATTTTCTTTATACCACTTGCTATGATGAGGTCATCTTGTTTATTTATTTCCTTGTTTATTGACTGACTACCTGCCCCCTGAGAATGTAAGCTCCATGAAGCTATATGTTTTGTTTGTGTTATTCACTGTTTTATCCTCAGCACCTAAAACTACACTTAGAATAGCATGAGTGCTCAATAAAAATTTCCTGAATAAAGAAAAAACAAAATGGTATAATATACATAGCATATAGTATTTTCAAGCCCCCCAAACAGTAAATTATGGTACTGGAGTCATCCTTGACTCCTCTGTCTCACCCCTATATGCAATGAATCAGCAAATTAACTTAGCACTTTCTTCCAGATATACCCAGAATCTGACCATTTCTCATTCCTTCCTCTGTTCTCACACTGGTCTGTGCCACCGTGGTCTCTTGCCTGGATAATTGCAGTGGCCTCCTAACTAGAGTTGCCAGACCACAAGTAATAATGCAGGATGCCTAGTTGAATCAGAAATTCGGAAAAACAATAAATACTTTTTTAGTATGTCCCCAAATACTGCATTCTCCATGCAGCAGCCAGAGGGATTCTTTTTGAAAGTCAGAATAAGTCACTTCTCCATTCAAAACCCTCTGATGTCTTTTCATCCCACTTATAATAAAAGCCAAAAAACTTACTGAGGCCCACAGCCCAGCAGGATCTTCTCCCAGTGGCTCTGTTCTCATCAGTCTCACTGTTCTCCCCTTCTCTCTTCCTGTGTCTCTCTTCTCCTAGATATATCTAACCTCCTTTAGGTCTCTGCTCAGACTTCTCAGCAATACCTTCCCTAACCATCCTGTTTAAAATTGCTCACTTCCATTTCCCTTCCTTACCTGTATGTCTCTGTAACACTAACCACTTCTTTTTTGTTTGTTTGTTTCAGAGACTGGCATCTCTGCTCTGTAGCCCAGGATAGAGTGCAGTGGCAGCATCATATAGCTCAAAGCAGCCTCCAACTCCTAGGCTTAAGCAATCCTCCTGCCTCAGTCTCCCCATTAGCTGGGATTACAGACATGAGCCACTGACCTGGTATTAACCACTTACAAAAATTTATTTATTGTCTTTCTCTTCCCATTAGAATTTAAGTTCCATGAGGGCATTTTTGTTCTTTTTGTTCATTGCTGCATTCCCAGTGCTTTGAATAATACCTGGCACATAATAGATGCACAATAAATATTTAATGAAGGTTGAATTAATGAACTGCAGTCATCCAAATCAATAGCGTTTGTCTGTTTCACTAGGATTCCTCTCTCTTTTTTTTTTTGAGACAGACTCTCACTCTGTTTCCAGGGCTAGAGTGAGTGCCGTGGCATCAGCCTGGCTCACAGCAACCTCAAACTCCTGGACCCAAGCGATCCTCCTGCCTCAGCTTCCCGAGTAGCTGGGACTACAGGCATGCCCCACCATGCCCGGCTAATTTTTTTCTATATATTTTTAGTTATCCAGCTAATTTTTTTCTATTTATAGTAGAGACAGGGTCTCACTCTTGCTGGTTTCAAACTTCTGACCTTCAGCGATCCTCCAGCCTCGGCCTCCCAGAGTGCTAGGATTACAGGGCTGAACCACCGCGCCCGCCTCTCCTCTCTTATTCTGGCCGTTCAGCATGTTATCTATTTAAAAGTAGTCAAGTAACTGCTGTCATCTTAGCATTTTCTGTAAATCTGTGACGGTAACAAACATTTATTGAGCACTTACATGTAGGCACTGCTCTAGGGTATAATATCATTATAGATATTTTCCAGATAAGGAAATTAGGACACGGAGAGGTGAACAATTTGCTTAAGATCATCTACGTGGGATGTGGCAGAGCTGGGTACGGAGCTGCGTCCTTAACTACACACTTTACTGGCTCGCTTTTAGCTCCTTTTGTTTTCTTTCTTTTTGGTAGTTAACTTGTTTTGGGTAAACCATGAATAAAAAGCTCTTAAAGCTCAAAGTCAAAACCTGTCAAAGGTCAAGGGCTTTATTACCCTCCAGTCAAAGGCTGGACGTTTTGCATTTGAATCCTAGATGGCGGGAAGGGGCACGCCGGTGTCGGGAGGGGCGGGGAGGGGACGCCAAGCCCCGCCAGCCAATCAGAGCGGGCGGGGCCCTCCCTTCCCCCTCCGCCGTCCACGCGCCAAAATTCCAAACGGGACTTCGCACCGCTTCTGCCGTCTCCCTCCGCCGAGTTCAGCGAGCCGGGACTATATAAGGGAAAGGAAGTCAGCGTTCTCGCCCTACTGTCCGCTCAGGTCTTCGATGCTGCCGGCATGTATTCCTCTCACCTTCGGCTCGGCCACCCTTGCTCTGCAAATGGGAGGAGAGTTTCGAGTCCACCGTTCTAGGGTGGCGGCGTGGGCGGGACAGGAGGCGGAGGGATCCCGGGCGCGTGCGCTGCGGCCGCTGGCGCTGAGCTTGTGGCGCCAGAATTCGGAGCGCGGAAGAGCCTGAGCGGCTGCCGCCCAGAGCCGGAGCCGTCTCCCGCCGCGGACGCCGAGACAGCCCTGGACGGAAGATGGTGGTCCACCGCAGCAGCTTGGAGATACACGGCCACTCCGCCACCTCGGCCTCGGACTCCTTGGACCTGTCCAGCGAGTTCCTCAGCCTGGAGCAGATCGGCCGGAGGCGGCTCCGCTCGGCCGGCGCCGCGCAGAAACCCGCTGTCACCGCGGCGGGCGTGAGTACCGGCCTGAGGCGGGCCCCCTCGGGCGGTGCCTGTGGGGACTGCCAGCGGCCAAGCGCCCGGAGGGGTCGAGAGGTGGGCGGCGCAGCTCGGGGTGACAGTTGAGGGGGGAGGAGTGTGATCCGGGAGAAATAAAATGGAAGGCTTCGGAGATCGGAGCCCCAGGGGTGTGGGTCGGGTGGAAGAGATCGAGCTGACTGGGAGAGGTCTAAGCAGTTGGTTACCACCTACTTTTACGCAAGAGGAAACCGAAGCCCGCCCGAGCTGAAGTGCAGTTTGGGGCCCAGCTGTGGTTTGGGCTGCCCCCGCCCCCACCTCCCTGACCAATCGCCCAGGCTCCTGCCTAGGTTGTCATCGACCGGTGGAGGCCACACACTTTTACTGCTTAACGTTTGCGTAATAAACGTTTTAGGGGGTACGAGGATAGATTGTGGTCCAGGTTCTCCGACCTTCATTTACGATCCGAGGGGTTCCGTAATTAGAGCGCAGTGAATAATACCAGGTTGCATAATGTGCAGGGATGAAGACCAACATCTCATGTACTCTCTCTTCATTTAAGCTAAATAAAAACCCTTTGCATAGTTATGATATCTATTCGACAGATGAAGAAACGGACTCAAAAAGGTAACCAGTAAGTGGTAGATCTAAAATTGGAACTTAGGTTGTCTGCCTCCCCAAGCCTACCCTTTCTGTTATATCATGCTGCAGTTACAGACAGTGTCTATAGGGGAAGTTTGCAAGCGGGTTGAGTCCGCTTGAAAGAAGTGCTTCTCCTAGGTCAGAAGTACAGATAGGATTTTTTTTTTTTTTTTTTTTGAGACAGTCTCACCCTGTTGCCCAGGCTAGAGTGCTGTGGCGTCAGCCTAGGTCACAGCAACTTCAAACTCCTGGGTTCAAGTGATCCTCCTGCCTCAGCCTCCCGAGTGGCTGGGTCTACAGGCATGTGCCACCATGCCCAGCGAATTTTTTCTATATATTTTTAGTTGTCCAGAAAGAGTGGGGGGTCTCGCTCTTGCTCAGGCTGGTCTTGAACTCTTTGACCTTGAGCGATCCTCCCACCTCGGCCTCCCAGAGCATTAGGATTACAGGCTTGAGCCACCATGCCCAGCCCAGAAAGGATTTTTGATGAGCTGAATTAAAGTTTAGGGAGAGACCCTCCCCTGCCCCAACTGCTTAAAGAGGCATCAGTAGAGGGGACAGCATGCACAAAAGGTTGGGGAAGTTGGGTAGGCAACACTAATACAGTTAAGGCAGCGGATAATACAGTCTAGTTGGAGTAAGGACGTTAGAGTGAGAGTAGGCATGGGAATAGGAAAAATAGGACAGGAGAGAGGGTTGGGAACTGGGGAATCAGGATGAGAGGCTAAGGGGAGATGTGTGGTGGGAATGACAAAGCTTAGTCCTCTTTAGTTCGGACACACAATTTTAGGGTCTTGTATTAAGGTACTTTATTATGGTCTTGTATTAAGATCGCAGAATGAAATTTGTTGTCAGTGTCTTCTGTGGCCACCCCATTCTGGTTACTTCTCTGCCAAGGGGAATGGGTTAAAAGACTCTCTTCAATCTCTGAAGTTGTGATTCTGAATTGAAAAGACAAGTAATTTCCTGATTATCAGGATTTGTTTCTCATTCATGTGCAGGAATTGGCAGAGCATCTGGAGAGGCCAAATACTTCTGCACTGGACTGGGTCACTTATTAACCTGTGTTCTGGAAAGCTAATTATTTCAGTAAATATTGATTATCATATTCAGAATAATGCTAGATCCTATGACCATAATGATGTATTGAATACTGGTTAAGTTCTTAAAACAACTATTAGTTTGAATCTCAGCTTAACAACAATCGGTGTGTTTCTACATTTGTTAAACAGAATGATACCCACCACATAAAAAGTGAGGATTAAATGTGATCATGTATGTAAAGAGATTAACTGAATAGTTGGCATATAGATAGGACTTAGTCATTGTTAGCTATTAAGACCATAGTGAATTTTAGTTAACAGCCATTCCATCTTTCCAGTTTCTCAGGCAAAAAACTTTAGGGTCATTCTTAACACCTCATGTCCAGTGCTTCAGCAAATTCTGTTGACATTTTGAAAATATTTTCACAGTCAGATCACTTCTGTCCTTCATTGTTATCACGCTGGTTCAGGCCATTATCTCTTGCTTGTATTTTTTTCTTTTCTTTTTTTTTTTTTTTTGAGACAGTCTCGCTTTGTTGTCCAGGCTAGAGTGAGTGCCATGGCGTCAGCCTAGCTCACAGCAACCTCAAACTCCTGGGTTCGAGCGATCCTTCTGGCTCAGCCTCCCGAGTAGCTGGGACTACAGGCATGCGCCACCATGCCCGGCTAATTTTTTATATATATATCAGTTGGCCAATGAATTTCTTTCTATTTATAGTAGAGACGGGGTCTCCCTCTTGCTCAGGCTGGTTTTGAACTCCTGACCTTGAGCAATCCGCCCGCCTTGGCCTCCCAGAGAGCTAGGATTACAGGCGTGAGCCACCGCGCCCGGCCTCTTACTTGAATTATTAAATAGATTTTTGATTAGCCTCCCTGTATTCCACCAGTATATATTATATTATGCCCTTCCCTCCTCCAACAGTCAGTTCTCAATATGGTGATTCTTTTAAAAGTCAAAACAGTTGTTCACTTCTCTGCTCAAAAACTCTCTACATAAGGCTGGGTGCGGTGGCTCATGCCTGTAATCCTAGCACTCTGGGAGGCCGAGGTGGAGAATCACTTAAGGTTAGGAGTTCAAGACTAGCCTGGGCAAGGACAAGACCCCTGTCTCTACTAAAAATAGAAAAATTAGCCTGAAATCCCAGCTACTTGGGAGGCTGAGACAGAAGAATGACTTGGGCCTAGGAGTCTGAAGTTGCTATGAGCTAAGCTGATGCCATGACACTCTAGCCCAGATGATGAAGAGAGGGTCCATCTCCAAAAAAAAAAAGTAAAAGTTAACCCTTTGCACTCGGATGTCGACACGGTTAGCAAAAATTATAGAGATTAAAATTACTCTTTGAATGTGTCAATAATTTGAAATATAAAAAAATCCAGATAAGTTTGTTTGAAAAGAAACTCCAGTTTTTTATTCTACTGCCGCGCTTTGTAAAATCTGGGGTATTTAAAAAATTAAATCCCGAGTAGAATAAAGGAATCGAGTAAAAGGCAAGCAAGTACAAAGGGTTAAAATTGTGAGCAACCCTAGCTCTTCTGTCTCCTTCCCTTTATCTCTATAATGACATCCTCTTCTACCTCTTTAGGAAAAAACCCAATCCATTCCAGCCATGGTGGTCTAGCTGCTCCTTGAATACCAGGGTCTTTCCAGTTGATGTACCTCTGCCAGGAATATTCTTTCCCTGGATATCTGCATGACCCATTCTTTAACTCCTTTTAGGTTTTTTTTTTTTTTCTTCTTAAACTAAAAAGACAAAATCTCAGAACTTATAGTACTTAATGCATTTCAAGAGTTGTACAAATGTTAACTCAATTCTCATAACCTTACGAGGCAGGCATGATTATCCTTGTTTTGCAGATGAGAAAACAGACACAGAGACTTAAATAACTTGCCCAGATGTATCGTGTAGTAAGCTGTAGAACTATGATTCAAATTTAGGAGTCTGTCTCCTTAAAGTCTTTGTTAACATTTAACCTTTTCAATGATGCTTATCCTAAACACCGTATTAAAATTACAATCCACTCCCCTTGACATACCCCTTTTTCTTGCTTTATGTTCTCCTAGCATTTATCACCTTCTAATATAGTCTATAATTTCCTGAGTTTTTATTTTTATCTCTCCCCAATCAATGTAACTATAGGGACCTGGATTTTGACTTTTTGTTCAGCAATGTATTCCTAACACCTAGAGCTTGTAGTAAATGTGTAATATTTGTTGTTGATTATCTTTATAGTTAGGGAAACTTAGGGAACTTAGTCTAGCAGAGTATACCAAACACAGAGACTATTTGCCATAAATGCCAGATTAGTGATATTTGGTGGTTGAGCAATTAGAATGCATTCAACTGGATGTTATAGGGTGGGAAGGATTTTTTGTTCTAGACTAGGGTTCCCAGAAGGGATAATAACCTTTTTGAGACAAAATATGCCTCTTTTCTATACATCAAGGCTCCTGTGTTGACCAAATTATAATCAGAGAGTTACTTAGTGAGCATGGGGTTGGATTAAGAGAAACAGTCCTCAGGGGTAATATATTGACACTGACAAAAGCCCATCAATACTGAAAATGAAACATACCTTTGTAATTGGAATACTTTTTAATTTAGGGTCTTTACATTCCATACATTTCATTGGATCATACATTTATTTATTTATTTATTTATTTATTTATTTATTTATCATCAGTCATGCATTTCAGAGACTACACTCTCTGATCACCTTGATTGTATTTGGATATTTCCTAGTCTCTTCAGGCACGAATTTATTCACAGAACATTTCTTAGGGTGGGTTACTTTTGGAGGTGGTTAAATTTATTCATACTAATTCATTAACTTGAAGTTTTCCTAGTCTAATCTCAGCAGCTGACCTTCAAGTTCTGAAGTTACCTATAGCCATGTATTTATTAACTACGTTCTACTTTTGTATTTTGAATATTATCTCATTCAGCCGGCCTTATGGATTTGTGTTTTGGTTTTGTTTTTGTTTTTTTTATGACTTATATAGGTTCTCTGAATATTGTAGTCATGTTGGGTTTTTTTGTTGGTTTTTTTTTTTTTTTTTTTTTTTTTGAGACAGAACCTCACTCTGTTGCCCAGGTTAGAGTGCCGTGGCATCAGCCTAGCTCACGCAACCTCAAACTCCTGAGCTCAAGTGATCCTCCTGGCCCAGCCTCCCAAGTAGCTGGGACTACAGGCATGCACCACCATGCCCGGTTAATTTTTATATATATATATATATATATGTTTTTAAGTTGTCCAGCTAATTTCTTTCTATTTTTTTAGTAGAGACGGAGTCTCAGTCTTGCTCAGGCTGGTCGTGAACTCCTGAACTCAAAGCGATCCGTCTGCCTCAGCCTCCCAGAGTGCTAGGATTATAGGTGTGAGCCACCTCGCCCAGCCTATATTGTTTTAACTTTGTTTTTTGTTGTTGTTGTTTTTTAAACTTTTATTTTCATCCTACTAACCTTGGGAGTTGGGATGCCTTTTCTGTGGTTTCTTTTTCCTCCAGAGTTAGACTAGCCATTGTCTATTTCTATACTTTCATAGGTCTAAGGCTCTTTGATTTCTGTTAATTTATGGTTGTTTCTCGTGCTGAAGAGTCACTTGAGGATGCATAGTAGGGTTTTTGGGTGATGATTGTACATTACTTTTGGATTGAGTTTACTGACATTTTTATCCTTCCATATGTTGTTAGGTAAAATAAAAACATGCTGTAATATATAGAAGGTACTTTTTTAAAAAAAATTGTATATATATTTAAAAGTCTTGAAAGATATTCCAAACTTAACACTGATGTATATAGCGTATGGGAGATTTTTGTAAACTTTTAAAAAATTTTTTATTTTTATTTTTTTAGAGACCAGGTCTTGCTCTGCCACCCAGACTGGAGTGTAGTGGTGTGATCACAGTTCACTGCTGCCTCCTACTTCTGGGTCAAGTGATCTTCTTGCCTTAGCCTCCTGAGTAGCTGGGACTATAGTCATAAGCCACCGTGCCTGGCTTATTTTTTTTTTTTTTTTTTGGACGAGGTCCTGGGGCCCCAAGAGAGGGGGCCCCAGAAGTCGCCCTATTTTTTTTTTTTTTTAAGTTTTTTTTTAGAGACAAGGTCTTACTATGTTGCCCAAGCTGGTCTTGAATTCCTGGCCTCAAGTTATCCTCCTGCCTTGGCATCCCAAAATGCTGAGATTAGAAGCATTGAGCCACTGCACCCAGTAAAAATTTTTAAAAAGCATAACAACACAGAAAAATGAAAAGTATACAGCTCAATAAAGTATCACAAAGCATGGATAGGGAAATTTTGATATGTGACAATCAATGTTGCTCCCTGTAGTTGGGTAACATGGCAGCTCTGTATTTAAGCATAAGCAAGAAAGCACCCTTGATTTTAGATTTAAACTTTATTTAATAAGCAGTGAAGAGCTAGAACAGGGATCTGATGAAATAGTGTTTAAGATGGATTATAGCCAACAAATCTAGAGCTTGGAAGACCAGTTAAGATTGTAATAGTAATAGCTACCACTTACATAATAGTTGCTATGTGCCAGTGCAGTACCTAATAGACACACATACAGTTGCCCTACTAAGTAACTATTACCATCCTTACTACAGATACGGAAACTAAGGCGTAGAGACCTATGTAACTTGCACAAGATTACACTGCTCTAAGTGATGTGCCAAGAATCAAACCTTGGCACTCTATTTCCAGAGTTTGAGTTCTTAATGAAAACATTATATCACGTTGACCAAAACAGAGAAAAATAGAGTTTAAGTTAAGGCGGTAGTAGTAGGAATGGAGAGAAAAATACCAACTAATAGAGCAGGGGTTCTGAGAGTTGTTTGGATACAGGGACAAAAACCAGTATTTCCAGCTAAAGCAGTGACCATTAGACCATTGGGAGTATTATGCCAGAGTTGCTAAGAGGTTAGGAGTATATATCTTTGAGGACAAATAAAAAAACAGCAAAACACAAAATGATTTAAGGAGAAGATCTCAAGCAATGGCTGGCTGAATTCTAAAGATGAGAAATTGAATCATATAACCAAGAGTATCATGTAAACCAAGGAATCAAAGCATTTAAAGAAGGATGTCTCTTCCTATAAGCGGCCTCAGGTGAGCTGTGAAATAGTTCGCTATTCACTTGACCCAGAAAACCCCACAAAATCATGCAAGTCAAGAGGTTCAAATCTTCGTGTTTACTTTAAGAAACTGCACATGACATCAAGGGTACGCATATAGGAAAAGCCACCAAGTATCTGAAAGATGTCACTTTGAAAAAACAATGTGTATCCAACATTATAGTGGTGGAATTGGTACATATGCCCAGGCCAAACAGTGGGGCTGGACACAGGGTTGGTGGCCCAAAAAGTGCTGAATTTTTGCTGCATGTGCTTAAAAATGCAGAGGATAATGATGAGCTTAAGGGTGTAGGTGTAGATTCTGTGGTCATTGTGCACATCCAAGTGAACAAAGAACCCAAGATGCATCTCAGAACTTAGAGAGCTCATGGTCAGATTAACCCATACATGAGCTTGATTGAGATGATCCTTACAGAAAAGGAACAAATTGTTCGAAAACCAGAAGTGGAGGTTGCACAGAAGAAAAAGATATCCCTGAAGAAACAAAAACTAGATGCAACATACAATAAATGCAAATAACCATTTTTAAAAAAAAAGGAAGTGGTAACTCCATAGAATCAATGAGGTAGAGAAAAGGCCTCTTGGGAGTGGATTTAGCTCTTGGGAGATAGTTGTGGATCTACTGAAATTGCTGTAGAGGTGGAAACCAACTTGCTGGAGTTTGTGGAATAGGTTGATGGTGAGGAATTCACCACTCTTTTGTTTTAAAGATGAAGCTAAAGAATCGTATCACAACTGTACTTGGTATAGGATGTATACCATTGTGTGTTAGAATATGCTACTCTATAAGCTTTCAGGAAACCTTAAGTTTGGATAGGTACATTTTGTAAGTCTGTATTACAGCTGTGAGGTTTTTTATTTATTTATTTTTTAGAGATAGGTTCTCATTCTGTCACTCAGAATGGAGTGCAGTGGCAGTGATCATAGCTTGCTTGTAACTTCCATCTCCCAGGCTGAAGTAATCCTCTTGGCTCAGCCTCTGGAGTAGCTGGGGCTATAGGCATGCACCACCACACCTGGCTAATTTTTAAATTTTTTGTAGAGGTAGGATCTTGCCATTGTCCAGGCTGGTCATAAACTGCTGCCCTCAAGCAATCCTTCTGCCTCCCAAAGTGCTAGGATTACAGTCATGAATCATGTTACCCAGCTCAACATTGAGCATCTTTGTATGTCTTTATTGTAATCTGCATATCTTTTTTTTTTTTTTTTTTTTTTGAGACAGAGTCTCGCTTGTTGCCCAGGCTATAGTGAGTGCCGTGGCGTCAGCCTAGCTCACAGCAACCTCAAACTCCTGAGCTCAAGTAATCCTTCTGCCTCAGCCTCCCAAGTAGCTGGGACTACAGGCATGCGCCACCATGCCTGGCTAATTTTTTATATATATATAGTTGGCCAATTAATTTCTTTCTATTTATAGTAGAGACGGGGTCTCGCTCTTGCTCAGGCTGGTTTTGAACTCCTGACCTTGAGCAATCCGCCCGCCTCGGCCTCCCAAGAGCTAGGATTACAGGCGTGAGCCACAGCGCCCGGCCTTATCCATTTTTTTGTTGTTGTCTGTGCTTTTGATGTCATATCTAAGAAATCATTGCCATATCCAGTGTCATGAAGCTTCCCCCTAAGTTTTCTCCCAAGAATTCCTAAATTGTTTTTTTAACTCTATATCCTCTTACACAGTTTTAAGTTACCATCTAAGGTTTTCCCCCCATTGGTTTAAATTAAACAGTTTCAAAGGCTGTAATTTCTGTCATCTTTTGATATTTTTTTTTTTTTTTTTTTTGAGACAGAGTCTCGCTTATTGACCAGGCTAGAGTGAGTGCCGTGGCGTCAGCCTAGCTCACAGCAACCTCAAACTCCTGGGCTTGAGTGATCCTTCTGCCTCAGCCTCCCGAGTAGCTGGGACTACAGGCATGCGCCACCATGCCCGGCTAATTTTATATATATATTAGTTGGCCAATTAATTTCTTTCTCTCTTGCTCAGGCTGGTTTCGAACTCCTGACCTCGAGCAATCCGCCCGCCTCAGCCTCCCAGAGTGCTAGGATTACAGGCGTGAGCCACCGCGCCTGGCTATCTTTTGATATTGACATTACAAAGAATAAAACTGTTATATCAGACTTATGTGTATACCTGGAATCTGAAAACCATAGTTATTTACTATGTCATGGAACATTAAAAAATAATAACATGAACAAGCTCTTTTAACAATCAAAAAGTTTGTATCTTTTTTTTTTTTTTTGGGGAGATAGTGTCACTTCTTGCCTGGGCTAGAGTACTGTGGCATCATCCCAACTCACAGCAACCTCAAACTCCTGGGCTCAAGCAATCCTTCTGCCTCAGCCTCCCGAGTAGCTGGGACCACAGGCATGTGCCACCGTGCCCAGCTAATTTTTTCTATATATTTTTAGCTGTCCAAGTAATTTCTTTCTACTTTTAGTAGAGATGGGGTGTTGCTCTTGCTCAGGCTGGTCTCAAACTCCTGAGCTTAAACGATCCACCCGCCTTGGCCTCCCAGAGTGCTAGGATTATAGGTGTGAGCCACTGCACCCAGCCGGTGACAGGGTTTTGTTGTGTGTATTTTTCTTAGGTGCTTCTGATTTCTGTAACCTTAAAATAAATGAGTACCTGCTATTGTGAACTGTTATGATTTTTTTTTTTTTTGGAACTACAAAACAGTGGAAGATTTTTTTTAATTAGTATTGGAAAACTTCACTCTCTAGACTACTTGCTATGAAATAGTTATGAACTACTTGTTATGAACTACAAAACATCAGTAAATCTTATATTAGCTATTTCATAAACATCACTGTTAATTTATCATGAAATGATTATTTTAGATAATAATTGTTATAGTTTCTTGGTGATGTGAAATGATTCTGCACAAAAAGCAGTTATTACTAACTTGTAATCAGAGAAAACATAGAAGGAGTTTAAATTTCATGTTTTGACTAAAAAACTTAGAAACTTAGATGGCTTTCTTAATTTTTCTTAAAGGATGGGTCTTCAGTTAAGGAAGTTGAAACCTACCACCGGACACGTGCTTTAAGGTCTTTGAGAAAAAATGCACAGAATTCTTCAGATTCTAGTTTTGATAAGAATATGGAAGTAATGGAGAATCATGCTAATGGCAGGCATTTTACAAGGTAATGCAAGATGCTTGAACACTAATTCAAAATAGTTTTGAAGCAATAATTTAGGATTTGCATTTAATTTTTAAAGTGTATTTTTGACTGGTTATCAAGATTCTAGGGTTGTAAAATGTATTTTATTTGAAGTGAAATTGCTACAAATGAATATTGTTAAATTAAAAATTGATTTGTACACATTCAGGTTTTTTTTTAATGCCTTTCATCATCATTCCCAACAGCTTTGCTTTTATTTTCTTGTTCAGAAATATTATTTGTGCTATACATGAGTGTAACTGGCAAGGTTGGTTGATGAAGGATAGGTTCTCTTAAGTATTTGAGTATCTAAAGAGACTTTATGTGACTGTAACTAGCTCGTGATGTGATTCTGCTTCAAAGTCTACACAAAGCCTTTGTTTAAAATTGTAGTTCATTTCTGATTGCTTGCTATAAAGTTTTTTGTCAATTTTGAATCATGAGTTTCTGTGTGTTTCAAAAGCAGTCTTCACAAAGAAGGGAGAACATGTGTTTTTTTGTTTTGGTTTTCTTTTTCATCTAAAGGAACTAGACACTTTATACATATTAAATTTCTTTTCTCAAGAACCTTGAAGTAGGTGGTATGAATCCTATTTTAATACTCCAGCAATCAATTTCAGTGGATTAGGAAGTTTGGGTAAGTTCATGGAACTTTGTTTGGTTCAGGGCAGATTTAAATCTGAGTTAAATTAGCTTAAAACCTTTGCTTTCCCCAATTCAGTGGGCCTAAAATAAATGGGGGAAAGCCTCAATTAGAGTAAAATTTGTCTGATGAAATAATTGGTTTTACAGTTCTTCTCATAGATACATTATTTGTAGTGTGTACAACCCTCCTACTCTTAAATAGAATTATTATTATTTTTTTTTATTTTTTATTTTTTTTTTGAGACAGAGTCTCACTTATGTTGCCTGGGCTGGAGTGCTGTGGCATCAGCCTCGCTCACAGCAACCTCAGACTCCTAGGCTCAGGCAATCCTTCTACCTCAGCCTCCTGAGTAGCTGGGACCACTGGCATGTGCCACCATGCCCGGCTAATTTTTTCAATGTATTTTTAGCTGTCCAAATAATTTCTTTCTATGTTTAGTAGAGACGGTGTCGCTCTTGCTCAGGCTGGTCTTGAACTCCTGAGCTCAAACGATGCACCTGCCTTGGCCTCCCAGAGTTAAATAGAATTTTGATTCTTATTTTGTATACCATATTTTCTAGATAAGTGAGATTATGCTATTTAAAGTTTCTGAGCTTTAAAAATTTTCTTCAGTTAATCAGTCTTTTATCATATATTTTAAAATTTGCATTTTATTTCATCCATTATTTAGGGAGTGTTTACTACCGTATTTCATGCAATCCTCTATTGTCAGCAGTTGAAATACATGACATTGTTTTATGAGACACTAAAAAAAAACCACTGACAGTGAACTGACATGCCATCAATTGTAAGACACATTCCAATTTCAGAAATGTTAAAATGGGGGAAAATTTACAACTTTTAGAATCAAGAAGTACAATATAAGCTAACCCAGTATTTCTGAAATTTAAAGTCTTCAGTTTTTTTCTTGGAGGGTGAGGGAATGATCTATGAATTTTCTGTGAGAAGTTTTAAATTATCTTTTATTATCTGAAAACATTCTGATTCATGTAAATTGCTACCTTACAGAGAATTGCCCTAAAATTTCAGGCCGTACATTTGTGTTTACAATTGAATAGGCATCAAGTAGTACTGCTCTAATTATCTCAGGTTAATGAGATAATAAGAACAGAATCTGAGCTTATGTACATGATGTGTATACTTCCAAAAGAAGGCCACATGATGTCATATGACATGGGGGATGAGTTAAGTCATCATGATACACAACAGTACATAAGAAACATGATACATAACATGCCAAAGTCGAGAGAAACTACTAGCAGTCAATACCACAATCACTTGCCAAATGACTATTTCATTTTAGCAAAACCTCATATTATGTTAATATTTTGGTTGGTAGTCAGTTGTATAGTTTTATTTGTATAAAACTTATAAATGAACTTAATCTAGTTTGACTTTACATAGTCATACAAAAAATTTAATGTTGGATGTCTTCAGTTTTTATCTTTAAAAGGATCTGTACATTTTTTAAGTTTGTGAAACATTATGCTGGGCTTTATGCTAGAAAGGTATTAAAGGATTATATTAAAATGGATGCTTTTTGATCTGGATTTAGAGGTGAATGATTTGATATTTTTAATTAGATTCCTTCTAAAGTATGTTTAATTCCTATCTTTTAAATTAATTTTTTTTTTTTTTTTTTTTTGAGACAGAGTCCCGCTTTGCTGCCTAGGTTAGCATAACTGCCATGGCGTCAGTCTAGCTCACAGCAACCTCAAACTCCTGGGCTCAAGCAATCCTACTGCCTTAGCCTCCCAAGTGGCTGGGACTACAGGCATGCACCACCATGCCCAGCTAATTTTTTCTATATATATTAGTTGGCCAATTAATTTCTTTCTATTTATAGTTGAGTCGGGATCTTGCTCTTGCTCAGGCTGGTTTCAAACTCCTGACCTCAAGCAATCTGCCCGCCTTGGCCTCCCAGAGTGCTAGGATTATAGGTGTCAGCCACTGCACCTGGCCTAATTTTTTCTTAATAACAGCTTTATTGCTATATACATCATATAAAAGTCATAATTTTAAAGCATGCAATTCAATGGCTTTAGTATATTCATACTATTGAGCAACCATCACTATTTTCTAATTTCAGAACATTTTCATCACCCCCAAAATAAACCCTGTGCCCATTAGCTCTCCGTCCTCCCCTTGGGAAGCACTAATCTTTCTGTCTGTATGGCTTTGACCATTCTAGACATGTCATGTAAATGGAATCATACAATATATGGCCTTTTGTATCTGGCTTCTTTCATTTGGTATAATGTTTTCAAGGTTCATTTATATTGTGATACCTATTAGTATTTAGTTCTTTTTATTGTCGAATGAGATTACACTGTATGGATATACCATGTTTTGTTTATTCTTTCATTAGTTGGTGGGCATTTGGAGTGTTCCCACTTTTTGGCTATTATGAATAATGATATGAATGTAGGTGTACAAATTTTTATGTGGACGTAGGTTTTCAGTTCTTTTGGGTATTTACCTAGTAGTGGAATTATTGGGTCAAATACTAACACTGACATTTTGAGGACCTGCCAAACTGTTTCCCAAAGCAGCTACACCATTTACATTCTCACCAGAAATGCATGAGAGTTCCAGTTTCTCCATATCCTTGCCAGCACTTATCATAATCTGTCATTTTGGTGTTAGCCATATTAATGGGTGCAAAGTATCTCATTTGGTTCTGATTTGCCTTTGCCTGATGGCTAATAATGTTGAGTATTGTTTTATGTGCTTATTGGCCATTTGTCTTCTATGGAAAATAGTTCCAATATTAAAATCCTCTCCCTGTATTCAAGTCGTTACTACAAATACTGTTTGTTATTTTACATAGTGGTAACATCAGTATCTTTTTGTGTAAGGCTTTTATAAAATGGCCTATGATATTTTTTGAGTTCTGCTTTATGTACTTTTCCTGTTTCTTACCCTTTTCACTATTATCCATATGCCTGGGTGCAGTAATCTCTTTACTTCCTTCCTGTTCTATTTTACCATTTGTTTTCAATCTGTTTGGGGCTCAAAGACCAGAGGATCAAGAACGTTAGAAAAATACAGAAAGATTTGAGTGACTGTGCCATAAGGGCAGGATCTATATACTTCTTGGATCCTAGTTCTTAACTAGGGTCCAGAGATTACGGGTGATTTTTCAAGGGGTGCACGAAACCTCTGAAGTAATGTTTAAACATGTGTAAAGTATATGCAATTTTCTAGGGAGAAAAGGGCATAGCTTTCATCAGATTCACAAAGTCCAGCTGCTTGTTTTTGTAATGGCTTCATTGGAACACAGTGATGCCCATTCATTGTGTCTTTGTATGGCTGCTTTCACCGTACTATGTCAGGTAGTTGTGGCAGATTGTGTGGCTCAGAAGCCTAAAAAAATTATCTAACAATTTAAGAAAAGTGTACCAAGTATAAAAGTGCTTCCCTTCCCCTGCAGGCAAAAAGGAAAAAAGGAAAAGAAAAATACTGCTTTAATCTAAGAGGGGCCTAGTTTATAAAATGCATAGATCTATATGGCATGGTGGGAGGGGCTTCTTGATGAGAAAAGTTGTGAGCCTATGAATGAACTAAGCCTTGACCTGTAGATGGATTGCTCAAAGGTTTTTATTTTCTTACTGGTTTGTACTTTATGTTCCAAGAGAGATAAGGAATTCATGATGGCTTACATCGTTAGGAGAATATGAGAATATCTTATCCTCTGGATAAGATGGTTTTATTTTCTTTGAAATTCCACATATAAACCAGGCTACTTGCAAATAGTTTGATAGATATAGGCTGATTAATAGATATAGCCTGTCCAAGTATGGAAAATTGAGTCACTAAAAATAAATTAATGAGACATACTGTTTTGTTTGTTCAGTGGATTTTTTGGAAAAAATGGTGAAGGGAGTATTTTATTTTAAAGCTTGGAAAGTATTCTTTCCAATTCAGTAGATTCTGTCTGTCAGTTTGTAGGTAGAATATCTGATTCACAAATGGGACTGTTTCTACATGTGAATAATAATAATAATGCATGTCATATAAAGATTGTAGTCAAGTTGCTCTTAAAAGGCGATTATCACTAAGGGACATGAGATCTGATTACAATTAACAAATTCCTCAAGGATATGGGACTGCTGTATTGTTATGGGGTTAAATTCATCTTGTTTTTGCTCAATGTTTACTTAGTTCAACTATACTTAAGAAATTAAGTCCTTGGCCTTTATTTCAAGTAAGATACTTAGATTTGATTAATTGTGTTTAGCTAGGAGTTAATGCATATATCACTTAACTGCAAAACAGTGTTCTTAGACTCTGTTTAGCCATAATTTATGTAAGCATAGATATTCTCAAGCTTTGTTTTTGTTTTTTTTCCAGTGTTTTTAGGTTTTTGGGTATCTGAGTATTTACTCTCCAGGCTGATTTAACGTTTTTTCATGGTTATAGTATTATGAAATGTAGGTTTTAAAGTTATGTCAATTATTTTAAATTATTTCATGTATTTTCTTCATATAGGCAGTTGGCCAGACAGCAGGCTGATAAAAAAAAAGAAGAGTGCAAAGAAGGTATGTAGTGTTAAAGGCATTTCAAATTTTTAAAACAGGGTAACTGATATTTTGTTTTCATGTTTATTGAGGTACATACAATAAACTGTACCTATTTAAAATGTAGAATTTCTTAGGTTTTAATATCAGTATATGCTGCAAAATCATTACCCTCAAAAGTTTCCTCAAGCCCCTTTATAATTCCTCCTAGCTCTTCTAGCTCTTCTCCTTGCTGTACAACTCATCCCATCCCCCACTCCTGACTCCTGAGAAAACAAATTGTTTCATTGAAACACAGCCATGCCTATTTATTTTGGAATCTGATTTCTGTCACCATAGGCTAGTTTGTATTATCTAGACTTTTATATAAATGGAATCATGTAGTATGCATTCTTTTTTGTCTGGCTGCTTTCAGGATAATTATTACGAGTATAACCCATGCCATTGCTTTTATTGCTGAATAATATTCTATTATATAGATATACCACAATTTGTTTTTCTCTTCTTCTTTTGATGGATTTGGGTTGTTTCTAGTTTGGGGCTATCACAAAGCTGCTTTGAACATTTGTGTATCAGTCTTTTTATTGCATATCTTTCCTCTTCTCTTGGGAGTGGAAGGGCTAGATCATATGGTAGGTATATGTCATAATTTTATTTTTGTTTTCTAATGTTTTTAGGAAAGCTAAGTTTAAGACACTATAATTTTGTTATGTGAAAGTGTAGCTTTTCAATTGTTCATTTTAGAATTATTTCATAAACACTGTTATTTCACATTTTTCTATTTATTTTTATGTATGTACCTATGAAGACAAAGTGATTCCAGTTACTCGATCATTGAGGACTAGAAACATTGTTCAAACTACAGGCCACTTACTTGAAGAGAATGGTGATGTTGAAGTGCGCCGCAGTTGTAGGATTAGAAGTCGTTATAATACTGTGAACCAGTCTGTGTTATTTGACAAACTTATAACAAAGTAAGTAAAAATGCCTTAGATCAGAATGATTCATCTGGCCAAAACTTTTTTGTTGGGGAGGGATCATGAATTTTGACCAGCCTAAATATTTAATGCATTTAGTTTATATAAAGCATAAAGGAAAATGATTATTTGAGGTCTTTGTAATAATTCTATGTGTTTAAATTCTTGGAAAGAAATTTTAAAATATTTTTACACAAGTAAATAAATGCTGCTTATAGAAATATTTTAAACTCTAACACTGAAATATTATAATAGAAGACAATTAAGTTTTTAAAAATCTCTTTTACAATTTTAGTATATATTTATATCAATTTTTTTTAAGCACTGCTGAAGCTGTACTTCAAAAAATGGATGACATGAAGAAAATGCGTAGACAGCGAATGAGAGAACTTGAAGACTTGGGAGTGTTTAATGAAACAGAAGAAGTAAATATATTTTTCTATTAAGGGGATGGTTTAATAATCTTCAGTTTAATCTTTTTCTATGGTGCCTAATTCATTTTTGGTTAAATTATTCATCACTTTGTCCAGCATTTCTTTGATCAGTCACTAGTTATTGCTAGAGTTGTAAGAGTTTACAGCTGTAAATATCTTCATTTTAAGCAAGATTGGAGGAGCCTATTAAATATTTTAATGAATAGATACTAAATGTTAATGACTTTTATTTAAACATTTTTAGGGCAATCTTAATATGTACACAAGAGGAAAACAAAAAGGTATTCAAAGAACTGATGAAGAAACAACTGATAATCAAGAAGGCAGTGTGGGTTAGTCTTTTCTCTTGTTCTGTCTTCTGGGTTTAAGAACTTTATTTAGCAGGAAATAGCCTTTTTATTTAGAAGTTGTGACATTTATGGTAGTTTGTAACAGATCAGATGATTGTTAATTAAAAGAAAAAAGTGGGGGCAGAGAAGAGCTTAAAAGGATGGTTATGTTTTGTTTTGGTAAAGTAACAAATCAATTCTAAAGCAAATAACATTGGCTTGCTTTTATGTATATTTACTACAGATGACATATCATTTATCCCTCTATTTTAGTTAAAAGATGATTAAAGCTAAGTTTTATTATTCCATTTAAGACTTACTAACAAAATCAATTTTTCTTGAGTGAAAAACAGTTTTCTGAAATGTATTTTAAATATTTTGGTGAGGGTATTTTACCATTATCATCAGTAGATTGAGTTATGTGGCATGTAACTAGATGACAGCCAGAGGGCTGGATGGAAAGTCAAACTTAAGTTTAAAAGACAGAAGCTAAGTAAGAAGATTTTAAAATTTGTCTACTTGTCACATTAACTTGGAAACTTAAGTGTAATCATCGTATTAATGAAATTCTCAGGAACACTATAAACTTTAGTTTGGTACTTGCTAACTGTAGCCTTCAAACTTGTTTTTCTACTTCCTTTTTTTCCTTCTTCTAGTTTTTATTTCTATAATTTTTTACCTCGTTTTAAAAAATCTTTAATGTTGCAAAATAATTATAAGTTCTTTCTATGAATAATCTAAGAGTAGATAAATTTAAAAGGGAGAGAGGATCTCTTCTTTCCCACCTCCCCCATGTTAAAGGTTGTTAACATTTTGCTGAGTAAACTTCTGGAAGTATTTCTTAATTGTAGAATCATCTGAAGAAGGTGAAGACCAAGAAGATGAAGATGATGGTGAAGATGAAGATGATGGTGAAGATGAAGATGATGATGGTGAAGATGAAGACGATGATGAAGAAGATGATGATGATGATGACGACGATGAAGACGACGATGATGAAGATGGAGAAGAAGATAATCAGAAACGCTATTATCTCAGACAAAGAAAGGCTACTGTTTACTATCAGGCTCCATTGGAAAGTAAGTGCTATCCATATTTTTTCCAGAAGAAAATATAATTAAATTAGCTTTATCTTTATTGTCCTTCCTGTTATTTAGTTTTTTTGTATTTTTCATGTTTTCATTGTGCTGAATATTCATGACTATTGTCTTAACCTATCCTATAGCTGTAAGAAATAATTTCTCCAAAGAAAGTTAAATGTTATCCTTGAGCAAAACAAACAATTGGGCTATTTGGAAACTTTCTGTCTTTTAGATAGATTATACAGCTTTCTATTTTGTCAGTTTGTGTAGATAGGACTGCTTTTGATTTATGTTAACATTATATTTTAATACTTGTGAGCATTCATATGCAGGGCTGATAATTACCTGTTATGCATCTGTACAATCACAATGGTTGTTTATGGCCAGCATGTATTTTGGTTGGTTGGTGTCTGTGTTATGTATATTTTCAATAGCAACCCTTCAGACATAAATTATTTAAAACAAGAACAGCAAAATATTCTATAGTAGATATTTACTAGTACTTTCATGGAAGGCAGCACCTTTGTAAGTATTTAGATGAAGAGCAAAATTATCTTCATACATATTTCTGTATCTCATATATATTTCTATTTTTAGAACCTCGTCACCAGAGAAAACGCAACATATTTTATAGTGGCCCAGCTTCTCCTGCAAGACCAAGATACAGATTATCTTCTGCAGGACCAAGAAGTCCCTACTGTAAACGAATGAACAGGTTTGGTTCTGAAATAGTGATTGATTTATGACAACATAATTGTAGGGCAGGAATCTAGAATCTTGGGATCGTGTGTATTAGGATAGAATTCTACAATTGTATATTTGGGAGCGCTTACCTGTATGCTTCTAGTACTCTAATCCCCAGTACCACTGACTAGTTTTTGCTTTTGCTTCCATTAATAGGAACTGTTAGTAACTACTTTGGTAAGGTAGTTTATTCCATTGTTCCACACTTTAATAATAGAGCTATCGTTGATTCAGTGTTTACTGTATTCCTGGCTCTATGCAAAGCATTTCACATAATTTCATTTAATCTTCACATTAAGTTAAAGTTTAGTCTTTTCTTCACATACTGACACAGATGCATTTTCCTACCTTGTCACATGTTCCAAGTTCTAAGCTTTTAGAGCTCTCATGACATTGGCCATCCTTTTCTGTATCTATTTTATAATTTTTTTCTCTTAAATTGTAGAAAACACTAATTTTCTTTGACTATTCAAATTATTTTGAACAGTTCTTGTAAGTCTCCCTTATAGCAGCATACTGCATACTATCATCATGTTTTGGTCATGGAAGGCAGCACCTTTGTAAGTGCTAATGATTAATCTCTTTTCAGAAAAATAAGAAAAGTACTTGTGTCCGTGAGTCTTTTAATTTCATTTCAGAATCAAAAGTATACATTCTAGATTTCTTGTTCCATCATCCCTTGTCACATGACCAGGGCCCAGAAGGATAATCAGAAAGATAAACTCAGGGCTTCCCAATATTAATTACACTTGAATGGAGGCTACATTGTCAATATTGTTGTAGGTCCCTTAGAATATTGTTAAAGACCTCTGTTTTGAAAGTGAAATGGTACAATTTTCAGAAAAGGAGAGGAAAAAAGTATAGTGTGTCTCAACAGTTACCTACCAATGTATCTTGGAGAGGGTAAGATTTTTTTTTCTCTCCTTTGGTGTTCTTAAGTTTTCATGTTTGGTTCATAGTGTCTGGTCATTCCCTATGGAAACTGTCTCACATTGTGCAGGATTCCTTCCCTCACCCCTACCCCTGCCCCCATTTAACTTATGTTTGAATGCTGTAATGTGTCAAGCACAGTGGATATAAAAATGACTAAGATGGGATTCCTGCCCTTGAATTTCATAGACTAATGGAGATTCTGACACTTTTTAAAAATTTGTTGTTTTTGTTTGTTTTTTGAGAGAGAGTCTTGCTCTGTTGCCCAGGCTATTGCTCAGTGGCTTGATCATAGTTTACTATAACCTCAAACTCCTGGGCTCAAGTGATCCTCCTGGCTCAGCCTCCCAAAGTAACTGGAATTACAGGCATATGCCACCACACCCAGCTGATTTTTAAATTTTTTGTAGAGACAAGGTCTCGCTGTGTTACCCAGGCAAGTCTTGAACTCCTGGCCTCAAGCAGTCCTCCCTCCTTGGCCTCCCAAAGCAGTAGGATTGCAGACATGAGCCACTTCTGGCCCTGACAAGTTTAAATTGAAGTATGAACTAAGGGATTTAAGCTATCCTCTGAGTCACGTTATTTGACTCGCTGAACCTTCTTCTTGGTATTGGTTTTGATAACATATTTAAACTTTTTTTGTGTGGTTACTGCTTTATTGAAATACATTTTTGAGATACTTTCTGTCATAGGTTTGTCTATTCTGAATATTTCATAAAAGTAAAATCTTTTGTGACTGTTTTTCACTTAGTATAGCATTTTCAAGGTTCATCCATGTTTTACTAGGTATTAGTACTTCATTCTTTTTTATTGCCAAATAAGATTCCATTGTATGGCTATACCAGATTTTGTTTGTCCATTTATCAGTTGATGGATGTTTAGGTTGTTTCCGCTTTGGCTCTTATGAATAATGTTGCTATGAAAATTTGTGTACAAGTTTTTGTGTAGACATATATGTTTCCACTTCTTGGATATGTACCTAGGAATAGAATCATTGGGTCATATAACTAACTGTTTAATGTTTTGAGGAACTTCCAAATTGTTTTCCATAGTGGCTACTTCATTTTACGTTCCCATAAGCAGTTTACTAGAGTTCCAAATTCTCCGTATCCTTGCCAACACTTATTATTCTATGACTTTTTTAATGTAGTCCTTTATAAAGTTTTTTTTTTTTTTTAACTTTCATGCCAAGGTGGTATGAAGATCTCGTCCCTTCTAACATCCTTAACATAGTCATTTTGCTTATAGGCTTTTTACTTTTTCTTGAAGAGACCAGTTTTTGTTTATAGTTCATATAGTACTTCAACTACTGAGGCAAGAAGATAAAGCACATATCTAAAGAATTATTTTATTTTATTTTATTTTTTGAGACAGAGTCTCGCTTTGTTGCCCAGGCAGAGTGAGTGCCGTGGCTTCAGCCTAGCTCACAGCAACCTCAAACTCCTGGGCTCAAGTGATCCTTCTGCCTCAGCCTCCCGGATAGGTGGGCCCACAGGCATGCGCCACCATGCCCGACTAATTTTTTTCTATATATGTTAGTTGGCCAATTAATTTCTTTCTATTTATGGTAGAGACGGGGTCTCGCTCTTGCTCAGGCTGGTTTCAAATTCCTGACCTTGAGCAATCCACCCTCCTCGGCCTCCCAGAGTGCTAGGATTACAGGTGTGAGCCACTGCGCTCGGCCTAAAGAATTATTTGAACATTGTTCTTAGCATCTATGGCAAGTGATCAAGAAACCTCCAACAACAATGCAGGATCTTCCAAGTGTCTCTTGGCATACTTATCATAGTGGAACTTCAGGAATTCTGCCTATAAGCAGGATTCTCTTTCTTCTTTATGGTTGCTAACCTCCGGTAGTCTACGCTTTATTCTTTTACTCTAGACCACAGTTTTCACAACAAGCCTAGTCCCTTTGAACAACAAGGTAACTTAATAGCACAAGTGCTCTACCAATGTTTCAAAATACTCCTTATCTGTTGTCAAAGAACTAGAATTGGCAAAAAGCTGAAGCTCTCGTTAGGTTCAAAGTGCTGGTCCAGTGCTTGCTGGTGCTAAATTTTTCACTGGCTTTTAGTAAAATAGGGAGGACACATGAGCGAATGTGGATATGTATGTTAAGAATCTTTTAAAAAGTGAAATAATGGCCTTTCTCTAGTATAGAGCAATTCCTTCTCTAGTATAGAATGATTCCTAAGAACCTGGATCCATGACTAGGACTGTCTAGGTTCAGAGGTTAGCTCTTCCTTTATTAGTGACCTTTGGCAGGTTACCTAACCATTCTTTGCTTTGGTTTTTTGATTTGTAGAATGAAGATAATAGCACCTATCTCATACTTTTGTGAGAATTAGATGAGTTAATACATGTAAAGCATTTGAAAGTCTCTGGCCTATATTAAGTGTATATGTATTTGCTATTATAACTACATTTTGATGTTTAAAAATAATCTCTACTTGGAAACCTTATGTTAGTCCACAAGATTTTGTTACTGTTTGCTTATAACTTTACTGGTTTGTGAAATAAAAAACTGGAAATTACCAGTGTAGTAGGATATAGAATGTGGAATTTTTTTTTCAGTACTTTGAGTAACTGTTTTAGGAATTTTAGAATAAACAGTTACAGGTTTGAATTCTGACACCGTCAGTGAGTAATTCTGATATTTTGAGCAAGTTATTTAACCTGTGAGCCACATTGTCCTCAACTATAAAATGAGGTTACCAATAATGTACTTGTCCAAAGTTTTAATTAAGGTTAAATGACGTGTCAAACACCTGGTACACAAGGCAATCAATAAATGTTAATCCTTTTCTTGTGAAGTCAGTATTATGTGAGTACATAGTGAATTCACATATAATTATGTATATATACTGGTCTATAATATTAATGATAATGTTAAATAAGTTAGTCTTTCATATAAAATTACAGACTTGTACTAGATAGCTTTAGTTGCAGGCTGAGCACAAAAATAGTCTTGGGTGCATTTGGGTGGGTGGTTGGGTATAATATTATTTTCTCGTTTATTTCTGTTTCCACAGCCTCTTATCGAAAACCACTGGGGCATTTGTGTTTCAGAATCCATATTTTTTGGGTGGATTTACAAAGATAGCATGCAACATATGTAGTGCAGTAACATTAATAACTCTAGGGCTATTTGAGCCAGAATTGCAAAGTCAAATATATTTATAATTCTCTGGTGAAGCATATGAATAATCATAGTAAGTAGAACAAACAGGCTAAAAGTTGCCTTATGCCATTTCAGGTTATGTTGCTAAATGAAGAATGTAAAAACTTGTTTTCAGAGTTTTTAGATACGAGTTTCTGGACCTAGATTATGCAAGCAATATATTGTGAACCTTTTGTATTTTTGGAAATACCTATTTACCATGATTGCACTCTGACTCAGAAAAGTTATAGATCCTGAGCTAGTAGAATGATTAAAGGTTTTCCCATCCAGGTATTTTGTTTTTTATGTTAGTCTTTTGCAACTATCTAAAGGTAGAAATGATAAGAATTTTCTTTTATATATGTAGCACTTGACATCTTATTTAATATTAATACGACCAAGCAGCCTAAGAATTTGATAGTATTTCTTTTTTTGTCAGAAAACTCATGGGTTGGGTAACTCATCTACGTTTACAAAGCTGTTAAGTGGCAGAGTTGTGAATTTACAGCTGATGATAAAAGGCCATCTTATTCCTCACTATTTACTAGTATTTGTTTTTTTTTTGAGACAGTCTCACTGTGTTGCCCCAGCTAGAGTGCCATGGCGTCAACCTAGCTCACAACGACCTCAAACTCCTGGGCTTATGCAATCCTTCCGTCTTGGCCTACCAGAGTGCTAGGATTATAGGCAGGCGTGAGGCACCACGATGGGCCTGCCACTATTTTTTAAGCTTTCCGGGCTACCCCACTTTTTTTTTTTTTTTTTTTTTTGAATATATATTCTCACTCTGTTGCCCGGGCTAGAGTGAGTGCCGTGGCATCAGCCTCGCTCACAGGGAGCTCCAATGTGGCTTTTAAAAATCTCTTTCTTTCCTTTAAGAATTATTTTTTTTTTTTTTTTTTTTTTACATAAAAAATGCCCTTCTATTAAATTTATTTGAGATTTCAAAATAGGTGACTTCCTTTCAAATGTGAAATTATGTATAATACTGAAAATAGTTTTTTAAATTGCAGTCCCAAAGATTCTAGTATCCTCTTTATCCCACTTTCCTCATTGAGAATAATAACTGATTTATATCAGGACTAAGTCTTCACCCTGTCTAGACCATGTTCTTTCTTCGTGAATGTTTGATGGTCAGCTCTACTGTAGCCTCCTGTATTTTTTTCCTTTCCTCTCAGTTATTTAAGTCTTTTATTCACTTCAAAAGATGCAACCATTTTGTAGACAGTATACTTGGATTAGAAAATAAAATGATTCAACCAGCAAAGCTTCCTTCAGTGGTTCAGCAAATGTATTAATTTTATGATAAACATTTTTGGATCATTAGGTATTTCTGATACTTGTGTCTTACCATGGTCTTTTTTCCTGCCTTCCCTCATGATTTCAGTTTTTCTCTTTACTTTAGACGAAGGCATGCAATCCACAGTAGTGACTCTACTTCATCTTCCTCTTCTGAAGACGAACAACACTTTGAGAGGCGGAGAAAAAGGAGCCGTAATAGAGCTATCAATAGGTAAGTACCATATTGTTGTCTTTTTAAACTACCAGCTATCTTTTTTTTTTTTAAACTACCAGCTATCTTTTTAAAAAAGTGGTGAGAAAACAAAATAATTTGGGAATAGTTATAGTCTGGCTGATTAAAAAGTTGCACAACAGGTTAATGTATAAACTAGAATAGTGTCTTGTTAAAAATATCTACAGTTGAAACAAAATAACAGTTTGGAACATATGGTTATGATCTCTTGCCAAACTATTATATAGTCAAAATGGGGCTTGGTGAACAGTGATTTGAAGAAATAACTAGTTTTTACATTCTTATTGTGGAACTCTTAAGAAAAATAGAAGGCTTAATTTGTTTCATAACTCCTTGCAGTATAAGTCCACATATACTAACCAACTTACTTGATTTTCATAATAATTATATGAAGGAGATAGAGCAAGGATTAATCTCACTGTGCAAATGTAGGTGGGTGAATGAAAATGCAGTGTTGGATTCTGGTAATAAAATATTTTTAGAGTAGAAATAATACTTGACAGGCCAGACTCGGTGGCTCAGGCCTGTAATCTGAGCACTCTGAGAGGCCGGGGCAAGAAGATCACTTGAGTTCAGGAGTTCAAGACCAACCTGAGCAAGAGTGAGACCCTATCTCTACTAAAAATAGAGAAAATTAGCTGGGCAACTAAAAACAGAAAAAATTAGTTGGACATGGTGATACACACCTACAGTCCCAGCTACTCTGGAGGCTGAGGCAGGAGGATCACTTGAGCCCAGGAGTTGGAGGTTGCTGTGAGCTAGGCTGATGCCATGGCACTCTAGCCCAAGAAACAATGCAAGGCTATCTCAAAAAAAAAAGTAATGGTTAACAAAGCAGTTGGAACATAATTGAAGGAACATGCAAACCAACCATTCTTTGTATTCTGAGGTCTATTCTTCTATCATGTTAGGTCTTTGAGATTTAAATTTTTGCATAAAATTATTAAAATTCTTTTTTTTCTTTCTCTAACACCTATAGTAGAAGCAATCTTATTAAAATCAATTTCACCTTTTTTCCTTAATGTGGCTAATGGAAAATTTAAAATTACATTTGGGTTTTGAATTTATGTCTGTTGGACAGCAATGAGTTAGAGGATCTAAAAGCTGTATACTGAGACTATTTAGATTTTTGTTTGCATTCATACATAAAAATGTGCATCTAATCTTGTATATTTTGCTTCATGCAGTTATATATTTTTTTCAAGAATTATTTAAGAAATACCCTTTAGGAAGCAACAATTGAAAACTTGTCCATCCATCTTAGATTTCACAGTATAAATTCCTTGTGGAGTTTGGGACTAGCAAGTACTATCTAGGGTGGTAAGCATTGTGTGCTTTTACTTGTGTTTAGTTGTAGCAATCATTCTTCGTGAAGGCATTCTGGTACAGATATCTTCCTCTAAGCAGTTTTCATCTTTCCATTTATAAAATGAGCAGGTTCTTCTAGGTATTTATTTTTTGCAACCTACTATAACTATTTTTGAAAGTAGTTAGGGAATTTGCTTAAGAGAGTTGATGTGGATCCATTTTTGCTGAGTTATATATATAATACATATTATATATATATATGTATGTATGTATATAATTGTGTGTGTGTGTGTATAGCAGAGTTGTTACAGGTCTTGAAATGGACTGCTTGCATTTGATTCCTGGTCCTGCCATTTCACTAGTTGGGTGACCTTGGGGAAATCAGTTAACCTTTCTATGCCTTGGTTTTCTATTAAAATAGGGAAAATAATAATACCTGCCTCATAAGACTGTTGTGAGAATTTAATGGCTTAATACATGTAAAGCACCTAAAACTAAAGCAGAGTCTGGCAAATGGTAAATGCTCTATATATGTTACAAACAACTATTATAATGTATATTGATGCTGTCTGAATTCTCCATCATGAATTATTTTATGGTGCTTGTGATATCTTGCAAACTTGATATTTTTGTTTGATTGTGAATCTTTAATAATAAAGCATCAGATACAAATATTTTTAACACTTAAATTGTAGACGTGTATAGAAAATGAGGAAATTGAAATACCCAGATTGCTCCAGTTTAAATTTAAATTGTTTTTGTTTTTTTTTTTCTTTATTTTTTAAAAATATGAGCCCACTTCTATGAATGTTTTTGTTTTTAATTCTTAAGAAAAATGTTCATATTCTAATGTGGAGTTTGGGGAAGAGGATGAGTTGATAGGTGTGTGTTTTGTTTCATTATTTTAGTAGATTTAGGGGGTGCAAGTTGAATTGTTACATATATTGTATTGCAGTGAAGTCTGGGCTTTTAGTGTATCCATCACTTGAATAGTGTACATTGTATCCCACTGGGTAATTTTTCATCCCTCAGTCCTTCTCAACCTCCTGTCTTTTGAGTCTCCAATGTCTATCATACAACCTATTGGTTGATGAGTGCATAGGTTGATTCCTTATCTTTGCAATTGTGAATTGTGCTGGGATAAACATATGAGTACAGTTTATCTTTTTTATATAATGATTTATTTTCCTTTGGATACATACCCAGTGGTGGGATTGCAGGATGGAATGGTAGATGTGTTTTTAGTTCTTTAGAAATCTCCTTGCTAATATCCATAGGGGTTGTACTAATTCTCACCAACAGCATATAAGTGTTCCCTTTTTACTGCATCCACACCGACATCTATTGTTTTTTGACTATTCACAATGGCCATTCTGACTGCAGTAAGGTAATATCTCATTGTGGTTTTAATTTTGCATTTCTCTGATGATTAGTCAGGTTGAGCATTATTTTATGTTTGCTGGACATTTGTATATCTTCTTTTAAAAAGTGCCTATTCTGTCATTTGCCCACTTTTTTTTTTAATTTTTTTTAAGGCTGGTCACATGAGGCAGTGGGAGTGGAAAAGGAACAAAGGAATCTGTAACTGGTTGTGATCAATTAGTTGTAAATACCACTGCACTTGGAGCAACCTACCTACTTTTTAATGAGGTTTTTTTCCCTTGCTGAGTTGTTTGAATTCCTTGTGGATTCTGGATATTAGTCCTTTGTTGGACACATAGTTTGTGAGTATTTTCTTCCATCCTGTAGGTTGTCTATTTACTCTTTGATTATTTCTTTTGCTGTGCAGAAACTTTTTAGTTTAATTAAGTCCCTTGGCCGGGCACGGTGGCTCACGCCTATAATCCTAGCACTCTGGGAGGTGGGCAGATTGCTTGAGGTCAGGAGTTCGAAACCAACCTGAGCAAGAGCGAGACCCCGTCTCTACTATAAATAGAAAGAAATTAATTGGCCGACTAATATATATAGAAAAAATTAGCCAGGCATGGTGGCCCATGCCTGTAGTCCCAGCTACTCGGGAGGCTGAGGCAGTAGGATTGCTTGAGCCCAGGAGTTTGAGGTTGCTATGAGCTAGGCTGACACCACGGCACTCATTCTAGCCTGGGCAACAAAGTGAGACTGTCTCAAAAAAAAAAAAAAATTAAGTCCCATTTGTCTATTTTTGTTTTTGTTGCATTTGCTTTGGGGGGTCTTAGTCATAAATTCTTTACCTAGGCCAATGTCCAGAAGAGTTTTTGCTAGATTTTTGTCTAAGATTTTTATAGTTTTAGGTCTTAAATTTAAGCCTTTAATCCATTTTGTGCTAATTTTTGTATATGTTGAGAGATTGGGGTCCAGTTTTATTCTTCTGCGTATGGCTATTCAATTTTCCCAGGACCATTTATTGAACAGTGTGTCTTTTCCTCAGTATATGTTTTTGTCTGCTTTGTCAAAGATCAGTTGGTTGTAGGTATGTTGTTTTATTTCTGGGTTCCCTGTTCTGTTCCACTGATCTATCATGTGTTTCGGTTACTATAGCTTGGTAGTGTAATTTGAAATCAGGTAATGTGATTCCTCCAGTTTGGTTCTTTTTGCTTAGGATTGCTTTGGCTCTTTGGCCTCTTTTTTGGTTCTATATGAGTTTTAAATTTGTTTTTTCTAATCGTGTGAAAAATGACATTGGTATTTTGATAGGAATTGCATTGAATCTGTAGATTGCTTTGGGGGATACAGCCATTTTGACAATATTGATTCTTCTGATCTATAAGCAGTGGATGTTCTTCCATTTGTTTGTGTCATATATGATTTCTTTCATTAGTGATTTGTACCTTGCAGAGATCGTTCACCTCCATGGTTATATTTATTCTTAGGGTTCAGTGGTTGGTTTTTTTTTTTTTTTTTGTGGCTCTTATAAATGAGATTGAATTGTTGATTTTGTTTTAGCTTGGTCGTTGGTGATGTGTAGAAATGCTATTGACTTTTGGCTGTTGATTTTATAACCTGAGACTTGGCTGAATTCATTTATCAAATCTAGGAGTCTTTTGAAGGATTCCTTAGGGTTTTCTAAGTTTAAGACCATACTATAAGCAAACAAACAGTTTGACTTTTTGAACGCCCTTTCTTTATCTTGTCTGACTGTTCTGACTACGACTTCCAGTAGTATGTTGAATAAAAGTGGTGAAAGTGGGCATCCTTGTCTTATTCCAGTTCTTAGGGGGAATGATTTCAACTTTTCCCCATTCAGTATGATGTTGCCTGTGGGTTTGTCATATATTGCTTTTGTTATTTTCAGGTATGCTCCTTCTATGCCAAGTTTTTTTGGGGGGTTTTATTGTGAAGTGATGTTGGATTTTATTGAATGCTTTTTCTATATCTATTGAGATGATCACATGGTTTTTGTTTTTAATTCTCTTTATGTGGTGAATCACATTTCTTGGCTTGCGTTTGTTGAACCATCCTTGCATCCCCTGGGATGAAAACCCACTTGATTGAATTATCCTTTTGATGTGCTGTTAGATTTAGTTTGCTAGTATTAGTTGAGAACTTTTGTGCCTATGTTCATCAGAGAAACTGGTCTGTAGTTTTATTTTGCTGCATTCTTCTGGTTTTGGTATCAGGGTGATTCTGGCTTAGTAGAATGAATTAGGGAAGATTCCCTCCTCAATGCTTTGAAATAATTTCAGTAGGATTGGTACTAGTTCTTTGTACATGTGTTAGAATTTAGCTGTGAATCCAACTGCTTGTGACCTTTTTTGTTGCTGTTGGGAGATTCTTTTATTACTAATTTAATTTCACTACTCTTTTGGTTTATTCAGGAGCTCTATTTCTTCCTGGGTCAATCTCAGGGGTTGTATGTTTTCAGGAATTCATCCATTTCCTCTAGGATTTCTAGTTTATGAGCATATAGTTGTTCATACCAGTCTCTGATCTTTTGTATTTCTGTGGTATCAGTTGTAATGCCTCCTTTTCCATTTCTGATTGTGTTTATTTGGATTGGGGTGTGTGTGTTTTTAATAGGTGCCTTCCACTAAATTTTCGGAAAGATGAATTAAAAGGCATTTATAAAGATAGAATGAAAATCGGAGCAAGCCTTGCCGATGTTGATCCAATGCAACTAGATTCTTCAGTGAGTACTCTTGTTTCAAAATTTATGCTTGAATTATAATATTTTTCTTTGTTTTGGTTTAGTTTTAAAGTTAAAACAGAAACCAATGATTTTTTTTAAATCAGAAACTTAAATCTTTATAAATTTTTTTTTAATCTTCAGATCACAACTAAGATACTGTTAGTTGACTGGGTTAGGTTTAGGCATGGGGTAACAATTTTGACTCTAAATCTAACAATGTCAACGTTCACTTCTATTACAGGTACGATTTGATAGTGTTGGTGGCCTGTCGAATCATATTGCAGCTCTAAAAGAAATGGTGGTGTTTCCATTACTTTATCCAGAAGTGTTCGAAAAATTCAAAATTCAACCCCCAAGGTAATTTAATTATACTTTTAATTTTAGCCAAATCTGTGCTATACTACTATTGCTTCTTCTAGTTCTCATACTTTATTAACTCGTTTTTTACACCCTAGTCCCTGGTTCCCTTTTTATATAACTGAATTGTAGCTTATTATTATAATAGAAATGCTATATAGTTTTTTTAATTTTTAAAATTTATTTTATTTCAATTGTTTTAGGAGTACAAGTGGTTTTCCCTTTTTTTATACAACTTTTCTCTCTGAATCAAGCAATATGGAAACAGCAATGTAAATAAACTTTTTAGCCAGGTGCAATGACTCACATGTGTAATCCTAGTACTTTGGGAAGCCAAGGTAGGATGATCATTTGAGTCCAGGAGTTTAAGACTAACCTGGGCAGCATAGCAAGACTCCATCTCTACAAAAAATAAAAAAACTTACCTAAGCATAGGTGATGTGTGCCTATAGTCCTAGCTACTCAGAAGTCTGAGACAGGAGGATCTCTTGAACTCAGGAGTTGAGGCTACAGTGAGCTATGATCACACCACTGCAATCCAGCAAAACCCTGTCTCAAAAGCAAGCAAACAAATAAATACATCTTTAAAAATTAGTAAGCTTTTTTTCTTTTCCATTATAAAAGCAATGTACCATAAATCAATTATAGTTAAACACTGATGAATTTTAAGTTAAATTTTATAATTTAAAAAGTCAGAAAGGTATTAGTATTTTACAGGAAATGTTGTAAGTACCCAGTTAAAGTAATTTAGTGAATTTAAAAAGAAATAGCAGGCTGGGTGCGGTGGCTCATGCCTATAACCGTAGCACTTTGGGAGGCCCAGGTGGGAGTATTGCTTGAGGCGAGGAGTTTGTGTCCAGCCTAAGCAAGAGCGAGACCATGTCTCTACAAAAAATAGAAAGATTAACCAGGCATGGTAGCTAGTGCCTATAATCCTAGCTACTCAGGAGTCTGAAGCAGGGGGATCACTTGCACCCAGGAGTTTGAGATTGCAGTGAGGTATGATGACTCTACTGCACTCTAGCCTGGGTAACAGTGAGACCGTGTCTCCAAAAAAAAAAGCAAAGCAAAGAAACAACATACTCCTCAAATTTTCTCTCTACATTTTTTCTTCCTTAGAACATAAATTTTTCCCCCATAAAAGTTGAATTATATGATTACATATGCAAGTATAAGGTTATATAAGCATGATGAAAGAATAAAACGTGTTTCAAATAAAGGGTTCAATTTACAGTTTAAATATTTATTTTACAGTATCAATATTAACTGCAGTTTTAAGTTGTGCTTTGTGGTATGAAACTAGTATTTCAGTTGTCTTATTTTTTATTGACTAAGTCAATTCATGAAATTGGTTTCTAATTTTTGTTTAAATAGTCTACTTTTTACATGTAGTACTAAAATATTTAATGTATTATTTTACAGAGGTTGTTTGTTTTATGGTCCACCTGGAACTGGAAAAACTCTGGTTGCTAGAGCACTTGCCAATGAGTGCAGTCAAGGAGATAAAAGAGTAGCATTTTTCATGAGGAAAGGTGCTGATTGTCTGAGTAAATGGGTAGGGGAATCTGAAAGACAGCTACGATTGCTATTTGATCAGGTATGATATTAAAATTTACCTACATAGATAGTTCTATAATCAATGCAAGTTTAGGTTTATAAGAGTTAGATAAATCTTACATTAATCACTTTTTAAAGAAATAAAGAATTGGACCAACTATATAATCTTTCTAGATTATTATTTTCTTTTATACATATATCAACATAATACTGACTTACAATGAACAGTTTTATGGTAAGAAGAGAAAGCACTATTTGGATCTAAGTTCTTTGTAGTTGTAGGTCTCATACCTAGAGAGATTGGTAGTCTCATATTTAGAGAAATAGTAGTAGTGAATTATGTCTCAGTATGAGAGTTGAAGATTAGTTTTGCCCTAGAGTACCTCTCAGTTTCACATCCCAGATTGTATTGACAGCACATTGTGAGACAATATTAGGTTATTACATATAAAATGTTCAGTTTCCTTAAGTACTGTGACGATTGGTATCTCTGACATTTCACTTTGACACTTGTTTTATTTTTATTGTGAAAGGTACATCCTCATTCTTTCAAACACATGGCTTTGCTTGTGATTATATTTGAAAAATTTTTTAGAGTAATTTTTGTGAAACCACGAATAAGTCAAAAATTCCTGTTATTTTTTTAATATGACTTCTGTTGTGGAGCCAATGCAGCATAGACAGCTCGAAATATAAACAAAGTGTTTGGGAAGGATGTGGCTGATGAATGCACAGTACGTCAATGGTTAGAGAAGTTCTGTTCTAGTGATTTTAATCTTGAAAATGAGCCATCTGGGTGACCTCAGACTGAGGTGGACAGTGATGAGCTGAAAGCTATAGTGGAAGCAAATCCATCTCAACGTACATGTGAATTATCAAGGTTTGACGTACTATTCCAACAATATTGGACCACCTGAAACAAATTGGCAAGGTAAAGAAGCTGAATAGACGGCGTGAATTAAACCAGCATCAGAAGAGAAACCCTCTTGAAGCTTGCCTTTCTTTGCTGTCACGACATAAAGGTGAACTGTTTCTACCCCATATTGTTACATGTGATGAAAAATGGATTCTTTTTGACAATTGCAAATGTTTGGCAGGATGGTTGGATAAAGATGAAGTGCCAAAACACAGTCCAAAACTGAATATTCATCAGAAAAAGCTAATGATGTCTGTTTGGTGGTCCAGCGCTGGCATTATCCACTACAGCTTCAGGAAACCTGGTCAGTGGATTACAGCGGATGTCTGCTGCAACCAATTAGATGAAATGATGAGGATGCTTGTGATTAAGCACCCAAGATTGGTCAATAGAGACAGGCAATCCTCTTGCCAGACAATGCTCAACTACGCGTGTTTGTGTGCTGTTTGTGTGTTGTGTGCAAACAACACTGCTCAGGCCGGGCGTGGTGGCTCACACCTGTAATCCTAGCACTCTGGGAGGCCGAGGTGGGCAGATTGCTTGAAGTCAGGAGTTCAAAACCAGCCTGAGCAAGAGCGAGACCCCCATCTCTACTATACATAGAAGGAAATTAATTGGCCAACTAATATATAGAGAGAAAAAATTAGCCGGGCATGGTGGCGCATGCCTGTAGTCCCAGCTACTCGGGAGGCTGAGGCAGTAGGATTGCTTAAGCACAGGAGTTTGAGGTTGCTGTGAGCTAGGCTGACACCATGGCACTCACTCTAGCCTGGGCAACAAAGTGAGACTCTGTCTCAAAAAAAAAAAAGAAAAGAAAAGAAAACACTGCTCAAACTACAGTAGCAGGACTTGGAAACTCTGTCATCCATCATATTCACCAGACCTTGCACCAACTGACTGCCGCTTCTTCCAGGCTTTGAATACCTTTTGGAATTTCATCACCACTCACTCTCCAGGCTTCTTCACTACTGGCATCAACAAGCTACCATTGAGATGGCAAAACTGTATTGATAGTTTAGGTGCATACTTTGATTAATTGTACTGCTTCTTGCTTGAGATATAATACATTAAACTTTTGATTTGAAATCAGACATTTCATGTTTACTGACCTAATACATTATGATCTACTGAGATATTGCTGCAAATACTGTTTAGTCTCTTTTTGGAATTCTTTGAGATTCTATTTTTATTTTAGCTTTACTGAAATAGGTAAAAATTATGGCATTTTGCTAAATGTTTTCCCATCCTGATGTGGAAGAAGACTATGTCACTGTCTTCTATTCTTTGTCTTGTTTCCACAGGTAGTCTTGAATAGATTTTTTGTTAGATAGATTTTGTGTGTCCTAGTAACTATAGCTATAATATAACCAGTGAAATATGTACTTGAATACTTCTAGTTGAAAGTGCAAATAAAATGATAATGTTAGGTCATTACAATTTAGTATGAATTCTTAAGACCTAGTTCTTGGAACTTAAATTTATAAATTATAAATAGTCATAAATAAATTCAGGTAATCAAGTTTGAATGAAAATAGATGGAAATGGTATATAATCAGATTTAGAAATTATATTCTGACAATCAAGTTTGAATGAAATGGATTAAAATGGTTTATATTAATCCTACACATTTGAGGCTTTTTGTAATAACGTACAACCACTGAACTTGCTTTCTAGGCCTATCAGATGCGCCCATCAATTATTTTCTTTGATGAAATCGATGGTCTGGCTCCAGTACGTTCAAGTAGGCAAGATCAAATTCACAGGTAAAACTTGCTTTTTGGCACTTCAAGCTTCCTGCCTAAATTCTGAGCTATATTGACATTGTATGACAGATAGTATGTTAAATGGTGAAAGAAACTTTACAAACTAGTAGTTAACAGTTTTTACAGTAAAACCCTAATATATAGTACAAAAAGAAAAAATGAAGTGTCAGAGTGTTTTAAATCACAGTTTATTGGTTACGGAAGATTTGACTCATGATGCAAACAAATGACCACAGGCCAATGAAGTAAGGCAGATGAAATGAGTGAGGCAAGCCAATGGTAAGAGTAGGGCTGTGGTGAGGTATGTTGCTGAGTGTCCTGGCACAAGAGCATAGCCAGTTATTTTTAGCTCCAACCTGTTATTGATGTGCAGAAGCTGACCCAGACTTGAAAAATTGATTTTTTTTCTCAAATTTTATATGGAAATTGTTAAATATTTTAAATATTGTCAACTAATTTGGATTTTAAGATACCACGTGGGCCAAACAAAATATATCTTAGGACATTACTTAGTTTAAGATTCTAATAGTAGTCCAGCGCCTCATTTTGAAGATAGGAAAATTTCATACACATTCTTCCTCCACCATGATTGGTTGCGTATCCAAGGGAGCATTTTTCCTAGTGCTATTTAAACTTGAATTTAAATTACTTTTAGTGCCAATTCATCTTTAGTTTTTCAGAGCTTTTCAAATGGCCTCATGAATTGTGTGTAATTGCTTAATTAATTTGGAATACACTAAAGCAAATGTTTGCATGCCTTTATGTATGCCAGTATTTTATATTGTAAATAATGTAGATAGTTGAACAAGACATAGTATGTCATTGATAGGTTTTGACTTTTCTAACATCTAGCAGTATTTACTGATAAATATATTCTGATGGCCCTTTTTACTTAATGATAGGCAATTTTATTTGTTGCTCTGAGTATATTAAGATACATATTAAGTACTATGGAAAATATAGTTTTGTCTGTGCATGTCCTATTGGTAATCATACATACTGTTTTTGTATAATGCATTTCATTATCAACCACACTGTATTCCTTGTGTAGTAGGGAGAAACATACTTAACAATACTACCATCACTTTGTAATCAAATAAATTGAGTACTTACTGTATTTGGGGACAGTTCTAAAGGGATTGGAGGAATTTTAACTAAAAAAATTAATAGAGTAATTATAATAAGCAAATCCATACCATCATAAATATCTAATTTTTCCCCCCAAATGTTATATAGGGATCTAAGATCAAATATATAAATGTTTAAGAGAAATTTATGATACAGGTTTGTTTTTAAACCAAAGATATTAAAATTCTGACATAGATTTTTGTTAAATTAAACTTTTCTAGAATTTAGTACATTGAAGATGATTAAACTGTATTTTGTATCTTATTTTGTGATAATACTGTAGAGAAATGTAAGTAAGTAATTATGTGAATGTCATTAGGTGATAATATTTTTAGCCTAAGAGAAAGGATATAAATAGAAAATAAAGAAGTCAAATTAAAAATTTTAAATCTTTACTTTGAATTGAAATATTAATATGAACTCATGAACTTTTTTCATAAAAGAAAAAGAAATCTTTAAACTTTTAACTTGCATCTATTAAGCTTCTAGATCTAGCTGCCAGTTTAGATGAAAGACAAACAACAGAGGGACAAGTTACAAGATCACATCAGGAAGCAATTGGACCAGTTCAGAATGGAGGAAGGAAATTCTACCAGACAAGTGGCCTAGTTTCTTCAGCAAATAAGTGGCATAGAGGGGGAAAAAGTGAGGGGTACGATGCGAACTGTTAAAGATTTGAGAGACAAATGACCGAGTACACTGTGTGGGTCCTGGATTGAGCAGATCAAACATAGAAAGATACTTCAAGGCAATCAAGGAAAATTAGGATGTTAGATGACATTAAAGAATTATTGTCATTTACTTTGGGGGCAAAGGTATTATGGTTGTTTTGAAGTCCTTATCTCTTAGAAATACATGAAGTACTTACATGAAATATTTATGAATTAAACTGTGTGTCTGAGGTTTGTTGTTGGTTTTTTTTTAAGTGATTAGAGCTAGGCATGGTGGCTCATGCCTGTAATCCCAGCACTTTGGGAGGCCAAGGCAGGAGGATTGCTTGAACCCAGAGGCTTGAGACCAGCCTGGGCAACATAGCAAGACACCATCTCTACAAAAAAAAGAAATTAACCTGACACGGTGTATGCACCTGTAGTCCCAGATACTTAGTAGGCTGAGGTTGGAGGATCACTTGAGTCAGGAGGCTGCAGTGAGCTATGATGGTGCCACTGCACTCTAGCCTGGGCAATAGAGTGAGACCCTGTCTCTAAAAATGATAAAAATAATATAGAAAGATAGAAATAGTCAGGTAAAGACATAAAAAAGGAACACTAATAATTGTTGAAGCTATGATGAAGATAGGGAGATCATTTTACTATTATCTTGCCATAATAAAAAGCTTAAAGTGTAACTAAAATCCAATTTTTATGCCTTATGTATATTCTACTTTGTTTTGATGTCCTTTGTTTGATCCTGTGTATATGTAATGAAACACTGTGTCATTTTAACATACTACCTCGTACTACCAGTATTTTATTTATTTTTTTATAATTGCATCATTGTTTGGGAACTCTCAAGTTCCTTTGTAATATTAAGCTACATGAAATGTCTTCCAGGATCCATTTGTAAGGCTCTCAAGACCATCTGTTTTCTGTTGATTTCAAGATTTCAATTTCTATGTGCCATTTAGTAAATTATTTTACAGATTTTTTTTTTTATTCATTGAAAGTAGGAAGTACTCTGAGAAAATTCATTCATATATTTAGTGCAGTAACTTTTACCAAAAGAAGAAATATTACTGAACAATATATTCTGTGTCCGTATTGTTAATCTCTTCTCTTTTATTTTTTAATTTAGTTCTATTGTTTCCACCCTGCTGGCTCTTATGGATGGATTGGACAGCAGAGGGGAAATTGTCGTAATTGGTGCTACCAACAGACTAGATTCTATAGACCCTGCTTTACGAAGGCCTGGTCGATTTGACAGAGAATTCCTTTTTAGCCTACCTGATAAAGATGTAAGAATTTAACATCACTCAAATTTTGAAAAAATACATTGCTTTTTATCATTAACAAGTTTTGGTACAGTATAAATTTGGAGATTCCTGAGTTTAGAGATTCCTGATAGTTGATAGTGAAAAACTCAGATGGGAATAATTTTTTATCCTTTTCTTTAAATATAATAGTGCCTCCCTAGCAGTGAGCTATGATCATACCACTGCACTCTAGCCTGGGTGATACAGTGAGACCCTTTCTCTTAAAAAATAACACCTCCCTTAAATTACTCTTACAAATTTTTTCAATTTAAGCATAGCCTTTGGACGTTATCAATTTTGCGTCAGATCATTTGGCTTAATGAGCCAATCCTTAAGCCAATGCATTATCCTTGGCTTTTTCATGAATTCCATCATATGATCCTACCCAGTTTTTTTTAAGTCCATTTAATTTTTTGAGAACCAAAGAAGAAAATATGGGTAGAGCTGTCTGTACTCTAAAAAACTTTTTAATATGTACCAGAATGAACAATTACTTTAGTAGTTATTTAATTTCTTTCATTTACATTTGTGATAAATATAACTTGAGCACTGTAAATGCAAATCTGTTTCATAATGAAACTTAAGTTCCTTAAACTCTTACAAATAAATCTTTTGTCTCATTTTTACTGTTTCATATATCTATTTATATTAAGTATTGGTTACTTTAAAATTTTAGAAAAGAGTATTTTAAATTGAAATTATTCTAATCTGAATAACACTTTAATTTTATTTGTAGGCTCGAAAAGAGATTCTAAAGATTCACACAAGGGATTGGGATCCCAAACCGCTGGACATATTCTTAGAAGAACTAGCAGAAAACTGTGTTGGTAAACATTGTTTTAAGCAATTAAAAGAAATATTACATTTATTTCAAAAATGGAACAAGTTGCACATTATGTTTAAGGAAATGCAAGATTATATTTATTTCTCATCTCTTATTTATGGCATTTTCTTCTCACAGAGTTCTGGATATTAAATAGATATATTTGGCAAATTGGCCATTGGGGGAATTTAAGACCAAGTAGATAATCATAATTATCCTTTACTGACCATTTATATTTTTCTAGTTATCCTGTTAAACATTCTTTGTATATATTATTTCATGTAATTCCCACATTTGTTCTGTGAAGTAGGTGGCATTAACTCCATGTTACAGATGAAGAAATGGGTGGAGAGTATAAGTGAATCTCCAGAGATCACAGTTTGTAAATGACAAACTGAAATTTGAACCTAGTCTGTGTGATTTTAAAACTCTTGCTCTTAACCCCTGTGATATACTTAGTGCTTGCATATTTCACTCACCAAAGTTGATTGATTTGTAGATGATTATTACCACCATATAAGTTAACTAGGTAAAAGAGATTTTGGTCTTACTACTCTTAAATATTTTGCTACTAAATGCTAAGCTGATTTTTAATTTTCTTTTAATCATGGCCATGCTAATAGGGTTTTGTGTTTTGTTTGTTTGGCTGCCCTCCTGCCTGTCCTTGTTGTTTCGGCTAGGATACTGTGGAGCAGATATTAAGTCAATATGTGCTGAAGCTGCTTTATGTGCTCTACGTCGACGCTACCCACAGATCTATACCACTAGTGAGAAACTACAGTTGGATCTCTCTTCGGTTAATATCTCAGCTAAGGATTTTGAGGTGGCTATGCAAAAGATGATACCAGCCTCCCAAAGAGCTGTGACATCACCTGGGCAGGCACTGTCCACCATTGTGAAACCACTTCTGCAAACCACTGTTCACAAGATCTTAGAAGCTCTGCAAAGAGTATTTCCACATGCAGAAATCAGAACAAATAAAACACTGGACTCAGGTATAAAACTTGATTGACCATTTAAAGTTAGTTTTCATAATGAGTAAAGCAAACCATGTTTTTATACATCCCAGAAATGTTTCCTTTATGTAAAAATAAAAAGTCTCTTGCAAAGAATTTAGTTGTACTTTACCTGCAATATTTGAAGAAAATTTACTTCATGGACTACCCTTAACTTAATCTGTTTTAAATTTGGAATGCATTTTTATATTTATTTGTTAAGTCATATCTGTGCAAATATTTTTTTTTTTTTTTTTTGAGACAGAGTCTCGCTTTGTTGCCCAGGCTAGAGTGAGTGCCGTGGCGTCAGCCTAGCTCACAGCAACCTCAATCTCCTGGGCTCCAGTGATCCTTCTGCCTCAGCCTCCCGGGTAGCTGGGACTACAGGCATGCGCCACCATGCCCGGCTAATTTTTTTTTTTTTTATATATATATCAGTTGGCCAATTAGTTTCTTTCTATTTATAGTAGAGACGGGGTCTCGCTCTTGCTCAGGCTGGTTTTGAACTCCTGACCTTGAGCAATCCGCCCGCCTCGGCCTCCCAAGAGCTAGGATTACAGGCGTGAGCCACAGCGCCCGGCCTGTGCAAATATTTTTGACTCTGAAAAACTTTCATTGAAGTATGCTGACTTGCTAACTGAAGTATTACATAAGGGTTTGCTTTGCAATTCAGAAAAGTTACGAATATACCATCTTTTTGTTTTATAGATATTTCTTGTCCTCTGCTAGAAAGTGACTTGGCATACAGTGATGATGATGTTCCATCAGTATATGAAAACGGACTTTCTCAGAAATCTCTTAAGACAAAAGAAAATTTTAATTTTCTTCATTTAAATAGGTATATTTTCCTTGCAAATGAATTCTTTTATTCTTTTTTGTTATTTTTTATCTTTTTTTTGTTGGTCTTCTTTTAAGTTAAAATATCAGAAATTTTTTTTACTATAGTGACAGCTGTTGTCATTATAGTAAAAATTACACTATATAAAAGTATTCCTGAAAATCTGTGGGGGTAAATTGTTTCCACAAACTGTGAACCTTGTTCTGATTGGCTGATCTTATGGGCAAGATATTTGACTTATGAAAGTTCGTAATTGGTAATTTGGGGGAAGCATTTAAACTTTTTTTTTTCTAAAACATAGCTTATTAATCATTTCTTTCAGAAATGCTTGTTACCAACCTATGTCTTTTCGACCAAGAATATTGATAGTGGGAGAACCAGGATTTGGGCAGGGTTCTCACTTGGCACCAGCTGTCATTCATGCTTTGGAAAAATTTACTGTGTATACATTAGACATTCCTGTTCTTTTTGGAGTTAGTGCTACGTCCCCTGAAGAAACATGTGCCCAGGTAATTTGTTGGTGCTCAAATAAGCTATATGACAAAGCAGTCATCCAGAGACAAGCTAGAATTGCCTCAGTCTTTCTGTATTGTTTTTATCTTTCTGATTTGGAACTTCAGATTTGCAGAGTAGAACTATGCATAATTGCTTAGTCACTAAAAAATATGGGTTTAAATCCCAGATCTACTACTTAATATCTGTGTGACCTTAGGAAAGTTACTAGATCTCTGTGTCATTTTTTTCTCATTTGCAAAATGCAGTAATAATGGTACTTAACCTCACATAGCTGTTGTGAGAATTAAATAAGTTCTTTAATCAGTGACTGTTCTTATGAGTACTCAGATATTCTGCAGTTTGCTATTTTTATATATAAATTTATTAACATAAAAATATTAATATTTATAATTTTATTTTATCTTGGTAACCACAACAGAAAAGTCTGCTAGATTTTTTTTTTTTTTTGAGACAGTCTTGCTCTGTCCGCTGGGCTAGAATGCTATGGCATAAGCCTGGCTTACAGCAACCTCAAACTCCTGGGCTTAAGCAATCCTTCTGCCTCAGCCTCCCTAGTAGCTGGGACTGCAGGCATGTGCCACCATGCCCAGCTAATTTTTTCTATATATTTTAGTGGGCCAATTAATTTCTTTCTATTTTTAGTAGAGACAGGGTCTTGCTTTTGCTCAGGCTGGTCTCAAACTCCTAAGCTCAAACCATCTGCCCACCTCGGCCTCCCAGAGTGCTAGAATTACAGGTGTGAGCCACAGCGCCTGGCCAAGTCTTCTAGATTTCTTGAGCTGTTTTTTGGTTGCTTAAAGTAATTATGTTTTCCAAAATATGCAACTTTATAAAAACACTTAAAAACAAGGTTATGGGATTGTGGGGGAAAACATTTGTAAAACTTTAGGGTTTTGTGTGATGATTTTGTGAGGTTAAATGTTGTTTCAGACTAATAGACCTGGCTTTACTAATGTGCTGACTCTAATGAATATGATTTTTCTTCCCTCTCCTAGATGATTCGTGAAGCTAAGAGAACAGCACCAAGCATAGTGTATGTTCCTCATATTCACTTGTGGTGGGAAATAGTTGGACCAACACTCAAAGCCACATTTACCACATTATTACAGAATATTCCATCATTTGCTCCAGTTTTACTACTTGCAACTTCTGACAAACCCCATTCTGCTTTGCCAGAAGAGGTAATTTATATTTTAAAAAGAGAGTTGTTTATACCAAAATAATGATAACTTATTGTAAACTACAGAAGTAAATAAAATAAGGAAAAGTTTTCTTATCAAAGACACCATTGTTAACTACTTAGTATATGTGCTCATTGGGTAAGATAGCATGTGTATATATATAGTAAGGATACATTATAAATATTTTCTCTTACAAAAATGAGATAATATACATACTGTTCTGCAATTTGCTTTCTTCACTTATCAATATATCTTATGTATTTGTTAGTACTGAAGTCTCCTTTCTTTTAAGAGCTATATGACTTTTTCCATTGTCTTGATGTACCATAATTTATCCAAATCCCCCCCTAAAAGTTTTTTTGGTTGTTTTTCAGTTTTTTTCTATTGGACTGCTACAGCGAGCATCCTCGTGTTTTAATTTATATGAGTATTACTATGTGGATTTTTTTTAGCATTGATTCATAGAAGTGGAATAGCTGTATCTGAGTCAGGGAGTATAATTACAATTTTTTAACAGTACCAAATTACTCTCTTTGAAGTTTATGTCAATTTAGACAATTACCAATAGTGAGGAAAAATTATCTTTCTTCTGCCTAGAATACTCTCTTCTTATATACTTGCCTGGCATGATCATTCATTTCCCTCAGATCTCTGCCCAAATACCACCTTAGGAAGATCTGATCAGAGTTTCTTAATGACAACAATAGCTCCTCCACCCATCACTCTCTTTTCCCTTTCTGTGCTTTATTTTTATCACTACCTGCCACTAAATATTAATTTATTTAACTCTGTTCCACCTATCAGAATGTGTAGTACATGAAGTCAGGGGACTTTTTTCCCCCCACCTCCATGTCCACAGAGCATGTAATATGCATATTGTAGGCTTCTGCCTATTTTCTTTTTTTTCTTTATTTTTTTCCCTCTTTTTTTATATATTTTTTTGTTTTATTTTTTACAAAACCACATGTTGACAAATGCCTATTTTCTTTTAATGAATAAATTTCGTATGTATTTTTTTCCTATACCTTTGACAAAATTAGTTATACTGTTTTTAGAATATTGCTAGGAAGATGAAGGCAAATACTTACTAAAGAAATATTTATTGAGTGCTTACTCTGCCAGGCATGGTTCTAGGCACTAGGAATATAACAGTGAAAAAGATAAAAATTTATATCCTCCTTACATATATAGGGCTAACAGTTGAGAGGGAGAAAAGGCATAAACAGATAAATTCTTAAAATATATAATAGTAACATTGTCATGGAGAAAATGTTAGGTAAAAAGTGCCAAAAGAGTATGATAGTGTCACAATGTTAAATAAGGGCTCAGTGAGAAGATGACATTTGAATGAAGACCTGAGAAAAGTAAGGTAGTGAACCATTTGAGTATCTGAGGACAAAAGATCCTGGCAGAGGAAAAAGCAAGTGCAGGGGCCCTGAGTCCAAACTCTGTCTGGCATGTTAGAAAAATAGCAAGAAGGCCAGGGTGATAGAGCAGAGTGAATAAGGGGCAGTATAGGGGAAATGGGGTCAAGGAGTTGTCAGCAGACCAGATTATGTCCCTGGTGGCTCTGTTTTAAAAATTGATGATACGCTTGAAGCTCTTGCATGGCGGGGTGGGAAGGGGGGGCAGGGACAGGATATGTAACCCTAACAATATTTGTACCCACAGAATTTGAGGTTAAAAAAAAAAAAAAAGAATTGATGATAAAACCTGAAAGCCGAATAAGCTAGGAAATGTATATGAAATATATGTTATAGACTTTTTGGGTGAGAAGGGTCTTTAAAGCTTTGTAGTTTAGTTAATTATCTAGTTTTGGTTTTAGTTTTTTAGAGACAAAGCCTGACTCTGTTGACCAGGCTGGAGTGCAGGACTTGATCATAGCTCACTGTTCTTTCAAACTCCTGGGCTCAAGCAATTCTCCCATCTAAGCCTTCCAAAGTGCTGGGATTATAGGTGTCAGCCACCATGCCTCGCCAATTATCTAGTTTTAGACTCTCCTTTATAGTCTGTCCTTCGTATGAATATGCCACCTATGTTGAAAACACCTTCTGCACAGTTCTCTTTGTTAGCTCTGACTAACGAAATCCAACTTATTTTGGGAAGCTTCCCCTTCCCTCCCCTCCCCTTTCCTTTTTCTTTTTTTGAGACAGAGTCTCACTTTGTTGCCCTGGCTAGAGTGCTGTGGCATTAGCCTAGCTCACAGTAACCTCAAACGATCCTTTGCTCAAGCGATCCAAGGGCTCAAGCGATCCTTCTGCCTCAGCCTCCTGACTAGCTGGGAATACAGGCATGCACCACCATGCCCAGCTAATTTTTTCCCCAATTAATTTCTATTTTTAGTAGAGATGGGGTCTCACTCTTGCTCAGGCTGATTTTGAACTCCTGACCTCAAATGATCCACCAGCCTCGGCCTCTCAGAGTGCTAGGATTATAGGCATGAGCCACCGCACCTGGCCTGTTCCATTTGTTTTAAATAAAGTTTGTAGTTTGTTCAAAATTCAAGTCACTCTCCTGAATGTCTTTCTGTTTTGAAAGCCAGAATTAATGAATTACTCTTAGTGGTGTTCTAATTAACACAGAATAAAGAAGGATTGTAATTTAATAGCCATATTATACCACTGGCTTATAGTCAATGTCAAAACTTTATTAATCATTTTGAGGTTTGAAATAAAATAAGTTTATACTCTTGTTAACAAGACAAACTAGCTGAACTTTCTTTTTATGGATGTAGAGAGAATAAAAATGTAATCAGTTTAATATGGGTAAACTTTACTGAGAATTTGAATGCTGCACTAAAAGATCTTTTTTTAAAAGAATATCTTGTCTAACTTTTTTCTTAGTGTAATATTACCTAAGCATATAATTGTAAACTGGATAAAGTATCCCAGTATGACAGTGTACAGTATGGGATGAGGGGAGGATGGTGGGCCAAAAGGCTAAGAATTGTTCATTTTTATAAATGAACAATCTAGTCAATCTGGTTGCAAATAAGTGAGCCCACTTTGAGCCTAGTCCACTTTGAGCCTTGTGTAGTTTATAGTGATTCAATGATACAATTGATATGGAATTGGACTATAATATATGAGGAATACTGTATGATCCATTTTCAGCTACATTAAACTTTATTCATCTCAAAACTATAGTCAGAAAATGGTTGTATATATGCTTCAGTACTAGTATACCCTAACAACTCAGACCAGTTTGGAAAGATGAGAAAGAATGACATTAGTAGATTAGAAATTTTCATGAATCCATGAAAGACAAAGTAGTAGGTATTAGATTGATAAAGGTAACCACAATTCAAAGCACATGCATGAAAGGACTGCTTTGAAAGGTAGAAGTGGTTTCTAGCTCTGGGTTAGTGCTACAAAGGAGTTGAAATAGCCTTTGGACAATTCTGGAGTAATTGGCTTTCTTCACTTCCCAGTCCCTGTACCAGCCAGCAGTCAGCAGGGTTTGTCCTCGGCTAGAACAGTGAGTTTGGGCCCTAAGACCACTGTGGCAGAGATTCACATATGGCTGTTGATATTAGGAGAAATGGGGAGCCTCTGTACCCAGCGGACAATTTCAGGTTCATTTTGTTTCCAGTATAGGCTGACTTCTTCCATAATCACTGAAGTAAGGAGCTAGAGTAAACATAAATAGCATGTATGGACAATCACAGGTTTCAAAGGCAAAAATGTGCCACCATGCCCGGCTAATTTTCTTTTTGTATATATATTTTTAGTTGGTCAATTAATTTATTTCTATTTTTGGTAGAGACGGGGTCTTGCTCAGGCTGGTTTCGAACTCTTGACCTTGAGCAATCCGCCCGCCTCGGCCTCCCAAAGTGCTAGGATTACAGGCGTAAGCCACCGCGCCCGGCCTGAAGTTATTTTTGAACATGGAATGTCTAAGAAACTATTACATATAAACCCCTGACTAAAAGAATTACTTAAGGATTATTTTTCCTTTTGGGTTTTTTATTTTGTAGTAGCAGCATATAAGAAGCAGTGATCAAAGAAAACAGTAAAACTTATAATCATAAAATTGTGATAGAAAAATTTTTTTAGAGAAACATAAAATTAAATCTAAGTTGGTCTGAACTTGAAGTAGCAAGAAGGGCATAGTAAAGGAGAAGAGGGAAGTGAAAACATGTCGAAGCTTTTATCTGATATGTGGATACTGATTAACCTTAGACTTTGGTAGAAAAAGAAGCTTAAATATATTAAAACTTATAAGATTAAAAGAATAGAAATCTAGCATATAACTTGCAGGCCACAAGAAAGGGAGAAAAAGTACAAATTCCCATAAAAATCCCCCCCAAATTTAAGTGGGTTCTAAAATTTAATGTAGAAGAAAAAAGTGCTTGAATTTCTAAGAAAAGTTTGAAAAAGCAATGAGGTGTTTCTTAGCCCACCAAATATTAAAGCACATGTACCACAAAGCTACTGTAATTAAAGCTGTGGAATTTGAGCCAGGATGAATAAATTAACAGAATATAGTCCATTACGAGAACTTTGTAGACATAGTAATTTATTAAATGAATTAGCACAAATAAAAGATTTATTTCATAAATAATATTGGAATAATAGGAAAATTTATATATCAAAGTATTACAGAAAAACGTTTTCTTAATTGTCTTTGTTCATTTTTACTGCTGTAACAAAGTACCTTATGCTGCATAATTTATAAACAACAAAAATTTATTCCCGGCCGGTCGCAGTGGGTCACTCCTGTAATCCTAGTACTCTGGAATGGCAGGCCGAGGCAGGCGGATTGCTCGAGGTCAGGACCAGCCTGAGCAAGAGCGAGACCCCCATCTCTACTAAAAATAGAAAGAAATTAATTGACCAACTAAAAATATATAGAAAAAATTAGCCGGGTATGGTGGCGTATGCCTATAGTCCCAGCTACTCAGGAGGCTGAGGCAGAAGGATCGCTTGAGCCCAAGAGTTTGAGGTTGCTGTGAGCTAGGCTGACACCATGGTACTCTAGCCCAGGCAACAGAGTGAGACTCTGTCTCAAAAAAAAAAAATTATTCCTTACAGTCTGGAGGCTAGGAAGTCAAAGATCAAGGAACTAGCAGGTTCAGTGTCTGGTGAGGGCTGCTCTCACCTAAGATGGTACCATATTGCTTTGTCCTTACATGGCAGAAGGGGGCAAATGTTCCCCTCAAATGGCAGAATATGAAAGGGCAAAAAGCAGCCTAATTAGTTCCCTTTTGTAAGACACTAATACTATCCATAAGAGTAGAGCCTTCATGGCCTAATCACTTCTTAAAGGTCCTACTTCTAAATACTATTACATTGGGGATAAGTTTCAACATGGATTTGGGAAGAGATACATTCAAACCATAGCAATAATCTTGGAACATAGAAACTCTGCAAAACAAAAAATGCAAAAATCATAAATACAAATTTCTCTATATCAAAGATACCCTAAACAAAGTACTTTAAGCAACATTACTAGTTATAAACATTATCCCCTAACAATAATAATAATATTATTGGGACAGGTCTAGAGGTTTGTTTTGAAACATCCTTTTGGGATCTGTTTTGCCTTTTTTTTTTTTTAATGGCAGTAAGATACACATAACAGAATTTACCATATTAACCATTTTTTTATTTTTACTTTTTTATTTTTTCCAGCATATTGTGAGGATACAAATGTTAAGGTTATGTATATTACCCTTGTCCCCCCCCATATTAACCATTTTTAAGCATACAATCCAATGACATTAAGTATATTCACAATGTTGAGCAACCATCACCTCTGTCCATTTTTAGAGTTTTGTCATCTCAAGTAGAAACTTTGTGCCTATTAAACAATAACTCCCCAGTCCTTTCTTCCCCTAGCCCTTGTAAACTGTTAGACTTTGTCTCATAAATTTATTTATCCTAGGTACCTTGTATAAGTAGAATCATACAATAGTTGTCATTTGTGTCTGTCTTATTTCACTTAGCATATTTATGGAGTTCATTCATGTTGTACCTCATGTCCAAATTTTATTCATTTTTAGGCTAAATAGTGTTCCATTGTATATGTATACCTCATTTTGCTTATCCATTCATCTGGTGATGGACATTTGGGCATCGCCACTCCCTGATTTTTGTGAATAATGCTGCTATGATTATTGGTGTATACATATCTGTTTGAGTCTTTGTATTGAGTTCTTTCGGCTCTATACCTAGAAACAAAATTGCTGGGTTGCATGCTATGTTTAACTTTTTGAGAAACTACCATACTATTTTCCACAGTAGTGGCTATACTATTTTACATTCTTACCAGCAGTCCACAAGGTTTCAAATTTCTCCATATACTTGCTAACACTTATTTTCTGGCCTTTATATCTTACTGAACAACTGCTTCTTTTCTTATCTTGCTTTTCACTTTGAGTTCTGATTAATTGATCTCAGCAAACCCTCTAAGTAAAATGTATCTTGTCAGTTACTATATTAATTGTAGTTTGGATTCTTGAGTTTTAAAGATCTTATGAGTCTTAGTTCCTAATCTATTGCAAACATGGTTTATACATAAATCCAGCATTCTTAAAAGACTTGGTTTAAAAATTATTTCTTTATTATACAGTTTAGATTGTCATTAAAATATGTGTATAATAACCTACTGTTCTATTAAATGATAGATACATGCATTTTGTATGCATATGTATATATATATATATACCACATATATGTATGTACTGTACAGATGCTTCACAACTTATGATGGGTTTATCAGTACATAACCACATCATAAGTTGAGTAGTATACTGAATGTGTATTACTCTCAGACCGTTGTATAGCCTAAAAAGCATAAGTCAAACCATTGTAAGTCAAAGACTGTCTATAAAATCCATAAATATATACATATATATGTATCGCATTTATTTTCTTTTTTAAGGTGCAAGAATTGTTTATCCGTGATTATGGAGAAATTTTTAATGTCCAGTTACCAGGTGAAGAAGAACGGACAAAATTTTTTGAAGATTTAATTCTAAAACAAGCTGCTAAGCCTCCTATATCAAAAAAGAAAGCAGGTGAGTTCCTATGTCAAAATTAATATATAGTAACTTTGATAAAGTGGGCATAAAATATCAGTTAATGACATTGACATCAATCTGATAACATAAGCTGGAACTCCAGTCATGGGTTAATGCGTCTCCTCCTTAAAATCTCTATGCTTCCTGCCCGGGTGCAGTGGCTCAAGCCTATAATCCTAGCACTCTGGGAGGCCAAGGCAGGAGGATTGCTTGAGGCCAGGAGTTCAAGACCAGCCTGAGCAAGTGTGAGACCCCGTCTCTACAAAAAATAGAAAAAATTATCTGGGCATGATGGTTCACACCTGTAGTTCCAGCTACTCATGGGGTTGAGGCAAGAGAATCACTTGACCCCAGGAGTTTGAAGTTGCAGTGAGCTATGATGATGCCACTGTACTCTAGTCTAGTCAACCAAGCAAGACTCTGTCTCCAAAATACAAAAAGTCTATGCTTCCTGTTAAAAGGGACTGAAGTTCCTGAGACACACAAGGTCTTTCATAGTGTAGCCCCAATCTATCTTTTCAAGCTCATTTTAGGCACTTGTGTTCTCCCCCCACCAACCCCATCTATCACTTCTTTTCTTACAAAATACTCTATCTTTAAGCCATACATAACATATTCCTACCCTTTTATGATTTCATTCATGCGTGCTCTGTCAATAAATGCTTCTATCTCTGTTTCTGTCTCTGCTTGTCCTTCTAGTATAACTCATCTTTTTATTCTTTATGAGGCTTTCCCTAACTTACCTAGGCAAAATTATCTCTAGTTTTATGACCTATTGCACTTTTTAAATACTAATATGACATTACAATGATATCATTATGTCTCTTACTCCCTTAATACATTGCCAGCTTATTGGGGTAGAACTCTCATATTCCTTTTTTTTTTTTAATCCTGAGGACTCATTGTGTATCTCTTTGAACAAAATTAAACTTTTGTTATATTTGAAACATCACATTTTTCATTAGTTCACAAATTTACCAGTAAAGAAGACTTTTTTATAGTTAGAATATTTTTGTCCTAGAAATAATACATTTTCAAAGTTTTAATAACCTCTTAAATTATCTTAAAATGGAGCAGAGGTAATGACTTTTAGGAATTAGCATTCCAAATTACAAGTTACCAGTTATTTCTGGAGGGGCTATAACACTAGAGTTTATGATAATACTTTTGTATTTCAATCCTTGGATTCCCAGCAGATATAAGGAAGATAACCCCTCAAACAAAGCCTGGCGTTTTTTGCACTACATCATTTATCACCTCAATATTATAGAACAGTATTAACCAAAATCTTCCATTCATATGAAGTTTTGCAGGCCTTGGAGGTACTCCCAGTAGCACCACCACCTGAGCCAAGGCCATTGACAGCAGAAGAAGTAAAACGACTAGAAGAACAAGAAGAAGATACATTTAGAGAACTGAGGATTTTCTTAAGAAATGTTACACACAGACTTGCTATTGACAAACGATTCCGAGTATTTACTAAGCCTGTTGACCCTGATGAGGTATTAATTTAATCTTTGGATCAAATGTTTTCTAGGCCACAGTGCTTCAAAATCCAAGAATATTTGAATAGTTTGTGTGATTCCTTGTCTACACTCTGAACTTGTTTTCTCTTTATGGAAAACTTGTACTGAGTTAGTGTCCTAAGCACATGGAGACTTTAAAAGCTATATAACACATTTTCCTTTCTTTCAGACAATTGACTTTATCCGCCTAATCCAAACATTATAGAAGGAATTTAAGAATATCTTAATGCCACATGATGTTACTATGACCTATGTGGTTGGAAGTGAGCTAGAGAGCTAGGTCTTAAGTTGCCATTGATGGCCAACAACTGGATGAGAAAAAAATACAGGAAATTACTGGAAAATACAGCTGCCCATGAACAGGAATAAATACAAAACACAAGCAGCATTAGATAGAGTGAAAGATTTCATGTTAATGTATTATCCCTATTGTAGTTCTTCCCTATTCCCTGTATTGCCTGGCAGAGAAACTTGACTCAAGTGTTTTTTATGTTTAGAGTTAATTTAGTGATTTGGCTCATTTGCTTGAATTTTAGGTTCCTGATTATGTCACTGTAATAAAGCAACCAATGGACCTTTCATCTGTAATCAGTAAAATTGATCTACACAAGTATCTGACTGTGAAAGACTATTTGAGAGATATTGATCTAATCTGTAGTAATGCTTTGGAATACAATCCCGATAGAGATCCTGGAGGTGAGCATTAGTGGATTTTTTTTCCAGGGGTGGAGTAGGGGCTGCTAATACTTAGTGAGGATTGATTTTTATATTGGGTGCGTTTTTTTTAAACTTTTTTATTTTTAATTATTATAGGTACATAATAATTGTATGTATTTATAGGGTATATGTGATATTTTGATGCCAGCATACAATGTGCATTAATCAAATCAGGGTAATTGGAGTATCCATCACCTCAAGCATTTATCATTTATGATGGGAACATTCCAGTTCCACTCTTTTAGTTAATTTAAAGTATACACCTAACTTATTGTTGATTATAGTTACTTTATTGTGCTATCAAATATTATTCATTCTAACCATCTAACTATATTTTTGTACCCATTAACCATTCCCACTTTATCTCCCTCTCCCTGCTACCCTTCCCAGACTCTGGTAACCATCATTCTACTCTCTGTCTCCATGAGATCAATTGTTTTAATATTTAACTCCCATCACATGCTATGTTATAAACATTTTACGTACATAATGCTATTTAATTCTCACAACAACTGTATCCCCATTTACAAATGGTGGACGTTCAGAGAAGTTAAAAACCTTGCTCAAGGTCACAAGGTACAGAGGCAGAATTTGAATACAGGTTTCCTTCACTCCTAAATCCCTGTTTATTAACAATTAACATAATATATCCTCTGATGCTGCAGTCTCCAATCCCCGGGCCATGGCCTCATATGGCAGAGCTGCTGCTACCCCCTACACCCCCAACCCCATCCCTGTCAGTGGAAAAATTATCTTCCATGAAAGTTAGGAAGGGGGGTGTGCACAGCAGGAGGTGAGTGGCTGGCAACAAAGTGAAGCTTCATCTATATTTACAGCTGTTCCCCATTGCTCACATCACTGCCCCCGCAACCCACACACCACCTCGTCCTGTCTGAGGAAAAATTGTCTTCCATGAAATAGGTCCACAGTGCCAGAAAGGCTGGGGACCACTGTCCTAATGAGGCACAAAATAGCTTGTTTACTTTGTGTATCAGTGCTCTTTCTCAAAATAGAAAAATAGATAGTCTGTAATAAAAATAGGTTTTAAAAGATTCTCTTTAAGACCATTATAATTTTTATTACAAAAGTAATATAGTATAATACTTGCTAATAGTAATATGAAAAAAATCTAAGTCCCCGATTTCCTTTTTCCAAAGGTGGGCACTTAAGTTTGGGGATATCTTTCCAGACCTTTTTCTATGCTCATATCACCTATAGTCTAAACTGCCTCTATTAATAAATAAAATTTATAAAGTAAAGAGTTTTTAATGGTATATTTTGTTCTGCAACTTGTTCATTTCCAAGAAATGTTCTTTCTCAGGTTTTTATTTTTTCCTATCTTCCTGTTCTTGTTTTATGAATGCAGTGTTCTTTATCAGTGGATCAGAAACATTTTTTTAGTAGTTCTATTTTCTGCATTTTCTCCTCTAGTATATTTGTCTTGTTTATAAATTGGTGGTGCTTATAAGTTAGATTGATTAGCACAGGGAACTACTGAGAATTTCTTCAACAATTGAAAAGCTCCCTTTTCTTCCCCTCCCAGTCCTCTTCCCCACCCTCCTTAAGCTTTTCTCTGTAGTTTATAGTTCTGGAGGTAAGCAGGGGGAAATAAGCCAGCAAGAACACTCCTTAATTGTAGTAAGAAGAAAGCAGTTACTCTGGAAACAGAGGGCTTTTTGTGTTCCAATACAGTCATGTTGCTGCTGCTTCTCTTTCTGTCCATTGTAGCAATCTGAAATTACTTTAGTTTGGGCTAAATTACTAATGTTTGAACCAGTGGTGCTCAAACTTTAGTGGGCATCAGAATCTCCTAAAGGACTTCTTAAAATATAAATCAATGGGCTCTATCTCTGGGGTTTCTGATTCCATAGGTGTGGGGCCTGAGAATTTGCATTTCTAACAAGTTCCCAGGTGATGCTGATGCTGCTGGGTTCAAGAACCACTACTTAGACTTTGCCTTGACTTTCTTCAGCCCCAATGTCTTGTTAGAAGTCCCTTTCATCATTCCTTGTAGCTATTTCTTGTAGTTATACCTGTCAGTCACAACCTGGGAATGAATATTGCAGTCTGTTGTCCTGTGATAGGTATTGATCTAGCAGTTCAAGCAATCCCACTTTTACTTACTACCTGTCTTCTGCTTTAAAGCATATTCCAGTTTACAGCACTCCTACTCTGAGCTTAGGATTTTTTTCAGTGTTTCCTATGTAGAGTTGCTGTTTCATTGTCTTTGTTAGTTTCTCTGTCAATGCAATTACATCCTCTATATCTCTTCCAAAAGTTTTCCACAGTCCTTATTCATTAATGACACTGACAACCTTACCTTTTGTTTTTGTTGGCATCATGATTGTTTAGTCTCTTGCTATTCGTTGATTCTTTTTTTTTTTTTTTCCTGATATTTAAAAGGGATTTGAATAGGGTAAAGCAATAGAATTGTTTGGGTTTAATCTGCCATGTTGAAATAGATGTCCAGGACATTAAATTAGCACCAAAAACAGAATAACACAATTTCAATAACTTTTACTATTTATGGTAAAAGTAATTGTAAGGGCTACCATCTTAGCCCAATATGTTGAGGGTTTTTTTGGTAAATTATTAAAAAGAAATTTAAGAATTGTATATTTTTACCATTTTATAGATCGTCTTATTAGGCATAGAGCCTGTGCTTTAAGAGATACTGCCTATGCCATAATTAAAGAAGAACTTGATGAAGACTTTGAACAGCTCTGTGAAGAAATCCAGGATTCTAGAAAGAAAAGAGGTAGGAAAATGATTTGGCATCAGAAAAAGGTGCTTCAGATATGTATTGAGTACTTTAAAACAAACCTTCATATAATTTTGAAATCTGGAAATCCTTCTTGACATCCCACATGTCTATTTATAAGGTTGCAGCTCTTCCAAATATGCGCCATCTTACTACCATGTGATGCCAAAGCAAAATTCCACTCTTGCTGGTGATAAAAAATCAGATGCAGAGCAGACTGAAAAGCTAAAGACACCCAATACTCCCATGGCTTACAGCACTCCTGGTAAGCACTCGGGTAATTTTCATTTCTGAAATTGTAACCTTTATTCCCTTCTAATCCCATTCACTTTCTCCCTCAGGTTTCTTTATGTTAATGCAGTAAATTATATTGATTTTGTTAATATTAAGGCAACCTTGCATTCTCAAAATAAATCCAAGCTAATATACCACTTGGAACCCCAGTTTACCATCTAATTGTGGATTGATTTGAAACTGATTTTTACTTTCTGTAAATTCTGGCCTATTTCCTATTCCTCCTTATTTTTATAGTATAACTCCAGAGAGTACCAGCCCAAAACCTGTGGGGTTTTTCACGACCTACCTTCCTTGGCAGGCCCTTAATTCCAGTTTTTGTTCTGTAAGCCCCATGAATGTCAGACTTGCTCAGTCTCTCTTATTCATTTGTTTTCCCAGGTTTTGGTGCAATAATTTTCCGCTGCCTTGTTAGATGTCTTTGTGTGTGTGTGTGTGTGTGTGTGTGTGCGCGCGCGCTGAGGTTAGAACCTTCTGTTACTGTATTACAAGTTTATCCATATTGGGGTGATTGATTTGAGATAAATAAAAGAGTAAGCCCTGCTCCCTTTCTTTTATAAAAATGGGAGAAGGCAGCTGGGAAAGGGAGAATGAGAAAGGAGAATTAGCAATAGGCCTTGACTGCCAGAATGCTCTCAGTCAGATCAACTTCAAGCAAATATATATAGATGGAAACTGAGGGCATGGAAACTGGCTCCCTTAAAACAATCAATTTCTAGCTATATGACCAAAAGGATTACACATACTATGTCCACTCAAAGACATGTACAAGAATGTTCAAAGAAGCAATATTCATAGTAGCCCAGTGCTGGAAACAACTCAAATGCCCATCAACAGTAGAATAGAAATTATGGATTATTATGTAATAGTGATAATTATTAAATTTAACTACATATAGCAGTATAGATGAATCTCCCAAATAATGTAGAATGAATCCTGGGCACACTTTTAGATATAAAGTAAATTTTTTAAAAATACGTATTTTTTTTCCATATATATATGAAGTAAAAAATGGGCAAAAACTAATCCATGGTGTTAGAAATCAGATTATTGTTTACCGTAGGGTATTGTAACTAGAATGAGGGTAACTTTGGAGTCTTGGTACACATTCTGTTTCTTGATCTGGTTGCTGGTTATATGGGTTACTTCTGTTTGTGGATATTCACTGTATGTTTATGTTTTGAGTACAGCTGACCCTTAAACAGCATGGGTTTAAATTGCACAGGTACAATTATGCATGGATTTCTTTCAATAAATAATATTGGAAAAATTTTTGGAGATTTACACCACTTTGAAAAAACTTGTAGATGAACCTCGTAGCCTACAAATATTTTTAAAAGTTGAGAAAAAGGTGTGTCATGAATGCATACAATACATGTAGACACTAGTCTATTTTATCTTTTACTACCATAAAATATATACAAATCTATTATAAAAAGTTCAAATTTATCAAAACTTACGCACACACATATAATGCCATTTTTTGCAGTTGAGAGAAATGAAAGCAAATGTAAAGATTCATTATTAAATCATAACTGTATAAAATTAACTATAGTACAAACTGTATTGCTATAACAATTTCATAGCCACTTCCTGTTGCTCTTGTGATGAGATCAAGTGTTATATCTGCTTAAAACACCATGTGATGCTAATTATCTCCAGAGAGATAATGTAAGCAGTTATCTCTCCAGTGTATCACAGTAAAAAGTGATCTCTTGCATTCATGAGTATTTTTCATCATGTTTAGTGTAATACCATAAACCTTGAATAACACCATGGGACCCATACACAGTGCCACTAGTGATGCTGGAAAGTCATGAAAAGAAAAGTCATGACCTTAAAAGGAGAAGTTGAATTGCTTGATATGTACTGCAGATTGAGGTTTGCTCCTGCTGTTGCCCACCATTTCAGGATAAATGAATGCAGTCTAAGGATCACTATAAAGAAAGAAAGAAAGAAATGGCAGCCATGCATGGTGACTCACACTTGTAATTCTAGCACTTTGGGAGGCTGAGGCAGGAGGATTGCTTGAGGCCAGGAGTTAGAGACCAGTCTGAGGAACATAGAAAGAAGACACCATTTCTACAAAACATACAAAAAACTTAGCTGAGCATGGTGTAGTCCCAGCTACTTGGAAGGCTGAGGCAGGAGAATCACTTGAGCCCCAGGAGTTTGAGGTTGCAGTGAGCTATGATGACTCTAGCCTGGGCAACAGAGCAAGACTCTGTCTCAAAAAAAAAAAAAGGAGTTCATGAAGCTGTCATTGTAGCTACATCAGCAGGTTCAAAAACCTTATACTTTTTGTGAAATACCTTGTCGTATTAAAAATGCAGATTTTATGTGAGCACAGAATTGTTATAAGAGAGACTTAGACTCTAATATGATTCAAGAAAAGCAGAGTCATTTTGTGACAACTTAAAAGGAAGGTGAAGAATATAAAGCAAGAGAATTTAAGGCCAGCAAAAGATGGTTTGATAATTTTAGAAAGAGGTCTGGCTTAAAAAATGTTAAGACAACAGGAGAAGCAGCTTCTGCTAACCAAGAATCAGCAGACAAGTTCCCAGACACCATTTAAAAAGTCATTGGGGAGAAAGTCTATCTGCCTAAAGAGGTTTTTAATGTAGATGAAAGTACCCTATTCGGGAGGTGGGGGGAGGGAAATGCCCTATTCTAGTGAGGAGAAAGGTCATTTATTAGAAAAGGAAGGGAAGCAAGCTCCAGGATTTAAAGCAGGAAGGGATAGGCCAACTCTACTGTTTTGTGCAAATGAAGTTGGGTTTATGATCAGGACTGCCCTTATCTATAAAGCCGCTAACCCCTAAGCCTTGGAGGTAAATACATGATAAACACCAGCTGCCAGTCTTTTTGGTGTACAGTAAGGTAGCCTGGACAATGAGAACATTTTTTCTAGATTGATTCCATTGATGTTTTGGCCCCAAATCAGGAACTTTGCCAATAGGGATTTCCTTTTACAGTTTCTTATTATTGGACAATGCCTTTGGCCACCCAGAACCCCATGAGTTCAAAACTAAAGGTATCAAAGTGGTCTGCTTACACCCAAATTCATCATCTCTATTTCAGCCTCTAGAACAGGGGATCATAAAGACCATTTTAAGGCTCATTACACACAGGACTCTATGGAAAAGGATAGTTAGTACTACGGAAGGAGAACCCTGATAGAACACGATGAAAGTCTTAAAAGGATTCCACCATTGGAGATGCCATAGTTGTTATAGAAAAAGCTGTGAAAGCCATCAAGGCTGAAACAATGAATTCTTGCTGGAGAATACAGATATTGTGTATGGCTTCATAGGGCTTATGACAGAGCCAATCCAGGAGATCATGAAAGAGATTATGGATAAGACAAAAAAGCTGGGTGTAAAGGATTTCAAGATATGGAACTTGGAAAAATTCAAGAGCGAATGGACACCACAACAGAGGAATTAACAGAAGATGACTTGATGGAGATGAGTGCTTTCAAACTAGTACCTCATGATGAAGACGATGTAGAAGAAGCAGTACCAGAAAACAGATCGACATTAGACAATCTGGCAGAAGGATTCTGATAATTCAGGACTGCTTTTGACTTCTTTTATGACATGGACCCTTCTATGATACAGGCACTGAAACTAAAGGAAGAAGGATGGGCACCATATACCGTGTTTCCCCGAAAATAAGACAGGGTCTTATATTTATTTTTCCTCAAGAAGACACCCTAGGGCTTATTTTCAGGGGATGCGTTATTTTCCCCTCAAAGCCTCAGCTTGCAGCACGCACAGGATAGCCGGGACCTGACGGGGAGCTGACCTTGTTGGTGGGGCTGCCTGCACCTTTCTGGTCACCTCAGGGATAGTAGCTGTCACGATGGGACAGATGAGAAGGGCTGCTCATCTTCTTTTTATTTGACACAGATTCTCACTCTGTCACCCAGGCCAAAGTATCATGGCATCAGCCTAGCTCACAGCAACCTCAAACTCCTGGGCTCAAGTGATCCTCCTGCCTCAGCCTCCTAAGTAGCTGGGACTACAGGCATGTGCCACTATGCCCGGCTAATTTTTTCTATATATTTTTAGTTGACTAATTAATTTCTTTCTATTTTTAGTAGAGACAGAGTCTCACTCTTGCTCAGGCTGGTTTCAAACTCCTGACCTTGAGCGATCCTCCCACCTCGGCCTCCCAGAGTGCTAGGATTACAGGCCTGAGCCACCTCAGCCAGCCTGCTCATCTTTACTGCTCCCACCCAGCCTGCTCATCTTTACCGCTCCATGGTGAAATGCATGGATTGTGCAGATAGCTGCATAGCCACACCCATCACTAGGTCTTATTTTCGGGGTAGGGCTTATATTGCGCAAATGCTTAGAAATCCTGCTAGGGCTTATTTTATGGATAGGTCTTATTTTCGGGGAAACATGGTAGAAACGTTTTTAGAGAAATGATAAAGCAAAAATATCAGAAATATGACATATTTCTGTAAAGTTATACTAAGTGTTCCTGCCTCTCCTACTTCCCCTTCTACCTCCTCTACCTCTTTTGCTGCTGCCACAACTGAGAGAAGACCAACTCCTCCTCTTCCTCTTCCTCCTCCTCCTCCTCCTCAGCCTATTCAACATGAAGATGACAAGGATGAAGACATTTATGATGATCTGCTTCCACTTAATGAATAGTAAATATATTTTCTCTTTCTTATGGTTTTCTTAACAACATTCTCTTTTTTCTAGTGTACTTTATTATAAGAATCCAGTATATAATACAACATACAAAATATATGTTAATGGATTGTTAATATTATCTATAAGCCTTCTATTAGTAATTAAGTTTTAGGGGTATCAAAAATATGCAAATTGTCAGTGGCAGAAGTCAGTGCTTCCAACCCCTACATTATTTAAGGGTCAGCTGTGCTTTATGTATGTGTTATATATCAATCAAAAGCTGAAGGTAAACAAAAAGCCTATGTACTCCTTATTTCCTTTCTTCCACTCAACCTGGTAATTTGAAGAGACTGCTACCATAGGTATTTCCAACTCAGCTGCCACCTCTTTATCCATATAAATTTTGGCAAGTACAGTACCAGTACTGTTGAACAGTGGTTTTTATTCTGGGGTCATCCTTTTTGTTGTTGTTATTATTCCTTGTTTTTCCTTATTCCATTGCCCTGGGTAGAGTGCCATGGCATCAGCCTGGCTCACAGCAACCTCAAACTGCTGGGCTCAAGCAGTCCTCCTGCCTCAGCCTTCCAAGTAGCTGAGAGTACCATGCCCAGCTAATTTTTATATATTTCTTTTAGTAGAGACGAAGTCTCACTCTTTCTCAGGCTGATCTTGAACTCCTGAGCTCAGACAGTTCTCCTTCGTTGGCATTCTAGGATTATAGTGAGCTGCCGCGTCTGGCCTGGGGTCATTCTTAATTCTTGCCTTTTTATTATCTTCCCAAGTCCTGTGAAAACTACTTAATTTCTTTCAAATCTATCCTCCATTCTCCCTTTGTCATTTCTGTTACCTAAGTTTTACTACTACTCCCATGACCATTGCAGTGTGGTTATACTCCATCTAGTCTAGACAGAATATTTAACCTCTCTGGACCTTAGTTTCTTTATATAATAGTGCTGATAATAATAGCAAGCCTCACTGGGTTAAGATGAAATTTCAATGAGTAGGTATACATAAAGGGCTTAGAAGAATTCTTAGTATTAGCTGGGTGCGGTGGTGTGCACCTGTAGTCTCAGCTACACGGGAAGCCAAGGCAAAAAGATTGCTCGAGCCCATGAGTTCGAGGCTGTAGTGCAGTGAGATTGCACCTGTGAATAGCCACTACACTACACTACAGCCTAGGCAACATAGACGTGTCTCTTAAAAAAGTTTCTAGTACATGTTAACACTCAATAAATGTAGGCTATTTTAAGTCTCGCCCTTTTTCTGGTTCATTTCTCATACTGCTGCCAAAGTGATCTTTCTCAAATATGTGTCAGGCAGATCGTGTCATAGCCCTTTATAAAATTATTCAAGATAAAATCCAAACTTCTTAGAATGACAGGTCATTTTATGATCTGGGCCTTGCCTACTTCACCTTTTTCTCATAGTACTCTCTGCTATTGTTTCTATATTCTAACCATACAAAACTACTATGGTTTCTCAAACTCCTTACCCTTTAATATTTCTGGGTTTTTTTAAAAAAACTGTTCCTAGAATTGAGAAAATTGTTGAATGTTCATTCACCATTTTTCTTTAAATTCCTTGAAGCTCAGTTGAAGAGAAAAATTAGCAAAAAGTCGAAGCGGTATGTAGGCACTATAACAAAGCGACGGAAGATTTCACAGGCAAAGGATGATTGCCAAAATGCTGATGACAAAATTGAGAGTGATACAGAGGAAACTCAAGATACAAGTGTAGACCATAATGAAAATGGAAACACAGGAGAGTCTTCAATGGAAGAAAATGAGAAGCAGCAAAATGCCTCTGAAAGCAATCTAGAATTGGGAAACAATAATTCAAGTGCTTATAATATTGAGAATGAACATAAAGAATCTAGGAAGACTACAACATGTACAGAATTGAGGAAAGATAAGATTGCTTGCAATGGAGATCCATCTAGCTCTCAGATAATAGATATTTCTGATGAAAATGAAGCAAAAGGTAAGTATTTTTCTATTTAAAAAGCAACTTACTAATTTTAAAAGATGCCTCAAAGTTCATGAACAACTAATTACATCTCAATTTATTGCTTTTTTTCTTATCCTCAGAGTGCAGGTATTAATAAAAAATAGCATTATCTTTACTTACTATTGAGCTAGTAGATCACTGTTGTTAAAAGTACATTGGCATCAAACAGACGTGGATTTAATAGCTTGTGACTGTGGGCAAGATACTTAACCTGTCAGCGTGTTTGTTCATCTGCACAATTGGGGTAGACAGTAGCTAGGTAATGAGATACTTTGAGAATTGAATCTAATATCTGTCTAAAGAATATAGCCCTGGCCTGGCTATGCAGCAGTTTAAAAGCTGGCAGGATACCCTTTTATTTTTAAGCAAGATGAACAGCTTCGTGATTCTTCCTGAGTGATATAGAACAACTCTTACCCACCACCATCATTCTTTTATCCCTTATGGTAGGTTAAGTCCAAGATAAATTGGTTAAGTCCAATGATCCTACTACTCAAATTTTCCATTTAGAATTGTCTTCATTTGGATCTTGAGTCTTTGGCAGTAGATTTATTTGGATATTGGAAGAGCCAAACATTATTTAGTCAGACAAAGCAAAAAGGTGGGTAATGGGATCAAAACTGGTTAATGAGACTGATTTTCTTCAGTGGTTTATATGCTCAAGGTTGTTAGCCTTTTACAAGGGTTTCCTTGAAATGAGTTCTGGTATGTTTGAGTAATCATAGCAATAATGGACTAGGATATAGCCTTTCTAATGTGGATATTTAATTTGTTTTGTTTTGGTCAGTTTTATTTTCATTTATCATTACCTTTTTTTTAAAAGGACATTATTTAGTAGGACTCAGATATCAGTAGATCTGGATTCTTGTCTTGGCTCTTACAACAATTAGATATATGACCTTAGAAAAGTCTCTTCACCTCTCTTGGCTTCATTTTTCTCATCTATCGATGCGTAAGTTATTTAAAGGGCCAGATACCAGGTGATAAATGCTTTAGACTGGGCAGGGGTCATACAGTCTCATTCTCTGTCACAACTACTCAACCCCGCTGGGAAAACTGCATTGAAGGTAGGTAAAATGGACATAGCCATTTTCTAATAAAACTTCATTTACAGTGGTAGGCCAGATTTTGCCCATGGATGGTAGTTTGCAACTCTTATTCTAGATTATTAAGGTCCTTTCCAGATCTTAAAATTTTGTAAATCTTATACCTAAATAGAAGATGGCCTAACCTGTTGAGTATTCCCCCTGAAATACTCAATTTGAGAAATAATTTTCTAACTGTCCTTAATTTTTGAGTGGTAGTATCTTAATCTTACAACAGAAAGAGTTAATAAGCCAGAATCAATGTTTGTGTCCTTAGTAAACATGCCTTGTTATTTAATCAGCCTACTGTTTATTTTAGGTATTCCAATGTCTGTAGACCAAAGAATAGTTATTTAATTTTTCATTCTAGAAATGGGTGTTCTGCGAATGACTCGAGCTAGGCGTTCCCAAGTAGAACAGCAGCAGCTCATCAGTGTTGAAAAGGCTTTGGCAATTCTTTCTCAACCTACACCCTCACTTGTTGTGGACCATGAGCGATTAAAAGTATGTAAATTGAAATCATAATGCTTTCACTGAACAGATTAGTAATCTCCAAACACTGGATTATGGACTAGTGGCATTCTGGCAACATAGGAAACATGAGAAACTAAAACTTTTCTTCATCCCAGCTTCCCTTTACTGCTCTTCTCTTTCCCCTGTTCCAAATTAGGAATTATATCTGAGGATCTGTGGTAGGAACCAGAGGGAAAATAGGTAAGTGATTCTGATATGCTGCAGGTTATCTGTTGCTCATTCTTTCTCCCTTACTATCCCCTCAGTTGGGTTTTCATCCTTAGCACTCTAATAAAGTGACACCCTAATAGCTAATAATACTTGCCTTTGTTAAAGTGAATTCTTCTTGCCATATCTGTAACATTTGACTGTTGATAACTCTCTTTCCTTGACTGCTGTGTCCTTAAACCATCCTTGCCTTCAACTACTTTTGTCAGCTCCTCAGGGTTTTTCTTAACCATTTGCTCTCTCTCTTTTTTTTTTTTTTTTTTTACTCTTGGTATAACCATCACTTCTGTAAGGGTGATCTTACCTCTGGAAATCTCCACCCTGATACCTCTGAACAACAGTATTATGGTCCCAACTAACAACCTGGATATACTGCAATTGCCTTATCATATATGAAATAAGATTGATTTTTTTGCCCTTTTATTTCAAAAGTAAACAAATTTGCATCCTAATTTCAATTTGCCTATTTTATTTTGACCACATTTCAAGTCTGAGAATGCTGATGGTTTATTTTGTTTATTTGGTTTTTGGTTTTGTTTTGTTTTTTTTTAATGAGATAGGGTTTTGCTCTGTCACCCAGGCTAGAGTGCAGTGGCATGATTATAGCTCACTGTAGCCTCAAACTCCAGAGCTCAAATAATCCTCCTGCCTCAGCCTCTCAAAGTTCTGGGATTACAAGTGTGAGCCGTCATGCCCAGCTGAAATTTTTTGATGTATAGAGCTATATGCAAAGATATAAATTATTTGTATAGATAAGAATTTTAACATATTAGAGAAAAATCTGCTCTGCGTAAGTACAAGGTGAACCTGCTAGTAACGGTGGACTCAGGAAAGCCTTTCTTTTGAATGTAGCTTTAAGAACTTGATATCTGTACTTAAGAAAGCAGAAATATTCCTGGAGCAGTTTCTACCCAAAAAACTTTACTCTCTCTGAAAAATCTCTTTAAAAGTGTGTGTGAAACTATTAATATAAGCTCCTGTAAGTCTCATGACCATAAAAATGGTATCCCTAATATTGAAAAGGGAACTTTGTGTAGTTCACTATGTTGTTTGGGGTTGAGGATGGCAATTATTGTTCTACTTAATCAATTTTTATAAATTTTACAGCTTTGTTCTGCTTAAGATACAGATACATCATTTAGAGTCAGTTATAGAAAGCCATCTATTGAGACTATTTCAACTTGTACTTTTTCCCCACCAGAAGAGGAACTGTGTAATAGTGCAGTGTATCCATTAGGCATGCAATACATAATGACCTTTTATGACAGGATAAACTTGCTATAGAATCATTTGTATAAAGGCACTAGATGATTAACATGTTAACTTATAGTTTTTAAGAGACTAGTATAAATTATTGGCCCCATATATTGTTTTTATGACCATTACCTATGACCATTTTAGTTGATGTTTACTTACTTGTAATGGTATGTTTTTGTTAATTGTGAGGTAATGACCCATCCTGATAGGGCCAGGCTTGAAGAATTACATAAATCTAGTGAGTCCACCATTTTACTTATGAGACAAAACACTGAGCGTATGGAAAATCCTTTTTATATAAGAAGAACCCTAAAGTGGTAAAGTAGCTCACCATTTATGTAGTATCTTTTTTAATGGAATTAATCATAATATACTTATACTGCTATAAAATGCCCTGCAAAAGCATTGCTTTTTTTCCCCTATTAATCTAATTTGAGGTTAGTTTTTAATTTGTTTGTAGAGGCTCAGGGTTAGAGTTGAAATTGGCAACCTCCTTAGTAACAGTTTTTAAAATAGGAGTTACGCAGGGCCAAGGCCAGAATTACAGATAACGTTAACTACATTTAAATGTCAGAGCCACTGCTAGTGACTGCCATGTCTCATAAAATGGCTTAGTCTGCCCTCTCTCTGGCTTATATGATAACAATTCCCTAAACCTTCAAAATTATCTTATCTCAGGGAATTCCTCTCTCACATATGTAAACTTACTCATATTTTCTTATAGACTCTTTTGAAGACTGTTGTTAAGAAAAGTCAAGAATATAATATATTTCAACTGGAAAATTTATATGCGGTAATCAGCCAGTGTATTTATCAGCATCGCAATGACTATGATAAAACAACACTTATTCAGGTAAACTACCAAGTTGAAACTTTCTAATGCTCTTATTGTCACATAATATATCACTTATATAAGCTTGGTAAGGCTTTATTTAATCTATATAAGGAACTGATTATAAGAACTTAAAGAACATTTTTTAATATGTGGATTATGAATTCTAGGTAAGGGTGAGTTTAGTATTTTTTTCAATCTAAAATTTCATTAGTTTGTCTCTGATAAGCAGTGAAACATAAACTATGAATATTCTTTATTTTGTGTGTTAATGAAGATATGTAGCTCCTTTTAAGATAGACTTATTTGGTTTTTTTGGTTTTTTGTTTGTTTGTTTGTTTGTTTGAGACAAGAGTCCCATTCTGTTGCCTGGGCTAGAGTGCCGTGGCGTCAGCCTAGCTCACAGCAACCTCAAACTTCTAGGCTCAAGCAATCCTCCTGCCTCAGCCTCCCAAGTAGCTGGGACTACAGGCAGGTGCCACCATGCCCGGCTAATTTTTTCTATATATTTTTAATTGGTCAATTAATTTCTTTCTATTTTTAGTAGAGACGGGGTCTCGCTCTTGCTCAGGCTGGTCTTAAACTCCTGAGCTCAAATGATCCACCGGCCTCGGCCTCCCAGAGTGCTAGGATTATAGGTGTAAGACACCATGCCCAGCCAACTTATTTGTCTTAATCTTGCTTTATACTAGATATTAGAGTACTAATTTTTAAAAACAGATGTTAAACGGTACCTACATGTGTATGTTACTGGTAACTACAAAATATTAAATGGTACTCACTATATACTCACTAGTATGTAATATATATAGTATTTAATATACCTACTCAAGTATACTATGATAACTGTAGTATAATATATATAATACTGGCACCTACAAAGTATAAAATATGAATATCTATAAGTACAGCTGTACTTTGATTATTACTATTTGAAGTTAACATAAAATGAATGTATCTTGGACTCATTTCAAAAGGCATTTAAAGAACTACATCCCATCTGCAAAATCAGTTTATGTGATAGTCTTAAATACTGAGCTAAATGTTTAAATTTTCATTATCAGATATGTACATGAATATCCTTAAGGTTGTTCACTGAAAAAAACACAGTATTGACATATTTCTTTAGCTTTTCCATATTGAAACTTAATAATTTTTCTTCCTATTCTTTATCTAGAAAATGGAGCAAGAGGTAGAAAACTTCATTTGTTCCAGATCATGATGTCATGGTACCAAGTATTCTTTATATTCAGTTCCTATTTAATTCATTTTTGTCATGTCCACATAACTGACGCAGTATGAAATCCTGCATCTTTAAGGAAAAGACTAAAATAAAAGTATTTAAACTTTCCTGATATTTATGTACGTATATAAGATAAATTACATGTGTAAGATAACTGATACATTGTTGGAAGTTTGCTTGAATAAGGCACTAGTAGTTGAAGTTTGGCCAACTCTTAATAAAGTTATTTTGATAACTCCTGTTTTATGGCACTTAAGAGCAATTAGTAACATTAAAATTTTTGTATTAAGCACTTTTCATTTTATCCTTCCTAAAAATAGTTTATCAGGATAGAAACTTATTTAACTATTGTCTTTGCCATCTTTTTTGTCATCTTTGTTTTATTGAATGCCCTTTCATGTGCCTTTAGCGTCCCTTGTCCATTCACTTAAAAGCTTATATAAGTCATTTGAAGGAGTGCCCTTGAACAACTTTTGGCTGTACCACAATTCTGTACTTGAATATCAAAACTAGTGTTTTTAGATAAACATTTTTATAATTCTAATTTGAGTTAATAAAGATTTTAAATATTTTTTTGTTTACCTTAATAATAACTACCTTGTTAAACATCTTTTTAATAGTAAAAAATTTTTATATTTGAAGACTTTATATCTTTCTAAAATTGTGTTTAGGTTATATTCTATAGATACTGTTTATATGCAATTATATAAATATTATAAATTTTATATTAATGATACCAAAAATAGATTTCTTTCTTAAACCCAAAACCATTCACCTCCATGCATATTCTTTTTTTGGGGGGTGTCATTCTAATATTAGTTTATAAAATAATGTCTCTTGGAAGGCTTTCAAAGGGCATAGTGAATGATAATCTAAAATAAGATTCTAAGATTCTGGATTCTAATGCAGTTCAGAGTTGAGCTGCCTTTTGTTATTGATTTATCTGGATATTATATTTAAGGCCTTATAAAACCCAGTAAACCAGATAACTTAATTAATAAATACTGTCTTATGTAATGCATAAAGCAATGCCAGTCAACTGAGAACATTTAAATTTGTGTATATTCGTGTAGATATACATTTACATGCTCATTTTTGTTAAATTTTATTATAACTTATTCTTCCCGATGCATCTTTTATAACTAGGATTTCACTTGTGTGTATAGCTTGTATAATAAATTTTGAAGGTGAAAACTTCGTCTCAATTTTGTTTCTATTTCTTCAGTACTTTAAAACATAATAAAGATAATTTAGTGCAAAAGAAGTACAAAATCTGTTCTTCCTTATATTACTGTGCATAATTTTAAATTCTGTTGACACTGGAATGTTTATGTGGTAAGTTTTCTTTAGATACAAAGACTAAGTGCTTCCTGTCCTTTTTTTTTTCTCTTTTGTGGGGACACTGTCTTGCTTTGTTGCCCCAGGATAGGGTTCAGTGGTGTCATTATAGCTCACTGCAACGTCATACTCCCAGGTTCGAGTGATCCTCCTGCCTCAGCCTCCATAGTAGCTGGGACTATGGCATGTGCCACTGTGCCTGGCTAATTCTTAGATTTTTTTGTAAAGTTTGGAGTCTTGTGCTTGCTCAGCCTGGTCTCGAACTCCTGAGCTCAAGCAATCCTTCCTTCTTGGAATGCTAGGATTACAGGTGTGACCCACTGCCCAGCCCTTCCTGTCCTTTTCATGAGACACTTTCTACAGATTTCAAAAGTGATATGTTTACATTGCTATGTGGAGTTTGAAAATCATGTAGAAATTGCAACGTTAAAATGTTTTTTCTCACTTTTTTGGTCAAAAGTGCAGTCAGTCTCTAGAACAATTAGGCAATACAAATAAAAAAGCATTTGTATTGGATAGGAAGAAGTGAAACTATCTCTTTTTACAAATGGCATGATCTTATATGTAGGAAGAATTCACAAAAATTGTATTAGAGCTAATAAAAGAATTCAGCAAAGTTACAGGATAGACAATAACATAAAAAAATCAGTTGTATTTCTATACACTAGCAATGAACAATCCAAAAAGAAAATTAAGAAAGCAGTTCCATTTACAGTAGCATCTAAAACAATGAAATACCTAGGAATAAATTTAACCAAGGAGGTTCAAGACTTAAATACTGGTAACTATAAAATGTTGCTAAAAGAAATTAAAAATAGACGTAAGTAAACAGAAAGGCATCTCGTATTCATGGATTAGAAGACATAATGTTGGAAAAATGGCCATAATTCTCAAAGCAATCTATAGATTTGATGTAATTCCTATAAAAATCCTGAAGGCCTTTTTTGAAAAATAGGGTAGATACTAAAATTCATATGATATTACAGGATATACCAAATAGCCCCAGAAAAATCTTGAAAAAGATGATGACTCACTTCCTGATTTTGAAACTTATTATTAATACAAAGCTATGTTAAAGCAGTGGTATAGGCATAACATTAGACCAATGGAATAGAATTAAAAGTCCAGAAATATGGTCAGTTGATTTTTCAACAAGGGTGCTCTAGCCATTCAATGGGGAAAGAACAGTTTCTTCAACAAATGGTGCTGAGACAACTTAATATCCACATGCAAAAGAATGAAGTTGTTGGATCCCCTACCTCATACTGCATTTTAAAAATTAACGCAAAATGGATCAAAGGCCTAATTTAAGAGCTAAAGCTAAAATTCTAGAAGAAAACAAGTTCAAATCTTCATAACCTTGTTTAGACTTGACAATGGTTTCCTACATACAACATGAAAAACACTAGCAACAAAAGTAAAATTAGATGATTTGAATTTCATCAAAATTTTAAACTTATGCCTTTAAATAATATTTATGCTCAGGTATCATTAAAAGACTTAAAACTCAACAACAAAAAGGTAGCCCAATGGTTGTAGATGTTTTTGATGACATTAACAGTTTTTAGGAGTGCTGGTCAAGTATTTTAGAAGATACCCTTTTGGAATTAGTCTGATGTTTTATTCATGAGTAGACCAGGATTATGGGTTTAGGGGAGGAAGGTCACAGGTAAAGTGATCATATCAAGGTTGCATACTGTCTGTGATTTCTGACTGTTGGTTGGCTTTGATCACTCATTGAAGTATTTCTCAGATTTCTCCACTGAAAAACTCTTTTCTCCCCTTTTCTGTACTAAACATGGAGAGGAAGTCAATTCATAGCTTAGCAGCCCACTTTTAGGGAGTGGGGAGTTATGCTCCCCTTTTGCCTTTTATTCTTAGGGGTCCCTGTAAGTATGCATTATAGGTTGAGTTTGTTTTAGACTCGTATGTCTGCTCTCCACTCCCTCCTGCCACTACCACATACACACAGACGGACACAGACTACTTTGTTACTCAGAGTAATACAATTAAGAGATTGCCGCATGAGGGATATATTGTGGGTGTAAAAACTCACCTTATATTAGAACATTCAGGAAAAGATTGCCAGTTTGCTTTTAATATACATTCATTCTTTGTAACAAAGCCCTGGTCAATGTATCCATCTGGGAAATTATACTGTTTCTTGCTTCCTTGCCAGAAAATGTGGCTGTGTGACTAGATTCTGGCCAGTGAGATACAAAGGGAAGTGTGCAGTTTCTAGGAAAGCTCTTTGGAAAGGAAGGGGTGAGAGCACTGTAGTTAAGAGATTGGTGTCATGTGGCCACGAGCCAAGGAAATGCTGGCAGTAGCCACAAGAAGCTGGAAGAAGCAAGAAAGATTCTCCCCTTGGTGCTCCAGAGGAGTGCAGCCCTGCCAATGTCTTGATTTTGGCATAATAATATCGATTTTGGCCTCCAGAACAAAGAATAATTTTCTGTTGTGTTTTGTTTGTTTGTTTGTTCTGACACAGAGTCTCTGTCGCCCAAACTCCTGAGCTCAAGTCATCCTCCTGCCTCAGCCTTCCAAGTAGCTGGGACTACAGGCACATGCTAACATGCCCAGCTAATTTTTTCTATTTTTAGTAGAGAAGGTCTCACTCTTACTCAGGCTGGTCTCAAACTCCTAAACTCAAGCGATCTTCTGCCTTGGCTGCCCAGACTGTTAGGATTACAGGTGTGAGCCACCATGCCTGGCCAATTTTCTGTTGTTGTAAACCACCAAGTTTGCAGTAATTTGTTACAACATTTACAGAAAATGAATACAACCTTATACCAACTTAAACTGTTTGCAATTTTGTAAACACAATGCCTTTTCTCCCCTCAGGGCTTTCATTCAGGCTGTCTCCTCTGCTGGCAATAACTTTTCCCACACACCCTAAGTTCCCCTTTCACTTGGCTACTTTAGACATTAGAGATGGTCTCTGATTCCTCAGGCTAAATTGAGGCCTTCCTCTAATTGTTCATAGCTCCCTCTGTAAACCACCCCTCCCCCTTTTAAAACTGAACCTTAAGTATACAGAACTGGATTAATGATCATGTATGTCATGACATATGCATCATTGATCCATGAATGGCCTCCCTTTTTAGTTAATTATTATTATTTTTTGAGACAGAGTCTTGCTTTGTTGTCCATGCTAGAGTGAGTACTGTGGCGTTAGCCTGGCTCGCAGCAACCTCAAACTCCTGGGCTCAAGCAATCCTTCTGCCTCAGCCTCCTGAGTAGCTGGGACTATAGGCATGCGCTACCATGCCCAGCTAATTTTTTCTATATATATTAGTTGGCCAATTAATTTATTTTTATTTATGGTAGAGACGGGGTCTCGCTCTTGCTCAGGCTAGTTTCAAACTCCTGACCTCGAGCAATCTGCCCACCTCGGCCTCCCAGAGTGCTAGGATTACAGGCATTAGTTAATTATTTTTAATAACACCCATAAAAACCTTCTCAAAAGGAAAATCAGGACCATGATAATCTATCTAACCACATCTTCACCCACCAGACACATTCACCCCTACTACCTGCTACACACCAAGATAACTCAAATCCTGAATCATTCATAATTTCCTTGCTTTCCTGTGTTCCCATAAATTACATTTTTTAATATTAGATTTTTACCTTATAGAAAGGGTATCATGCTACTGCATGTATGATATCTTCTTAAGCTTCCTTTTTTCCTTAATGTCATTTTGCTAGAATTTTTCCATAGTATTGCATATTGTGGATAATTCCTTTTTGCTGCTGTGTAATTTTGTGAGTAAACTACAATTTATTAACATTCTATCGGGCATTTAGAGTGTTTCCACTCTAAAGATTACTGTAAACAGTGCTTTTGATGATTGTAAACAGTGCTTTAAGAACATTCTTGCACCTTTCATCCATTGTACATGTGCATGAGTTCCACTTGGGTATTAGGAAACAGCATATTGAAACTAGGATAATTCAAGGAAGGATTATAGGTGTAGGGGAATGATAAATAGTAGCTTGGGGTTAGTTATCATCTCTAGGCTATAATGGATGAGGAGTTGGAGTGGTTGCTAAAGTCTAAAGGAAGTTTTGTGTAGTCTGCTGCCTTGAGAAAAGCAGTGATCTTCAATCAAGGGATCCTGTCAGCCCCAGGCAGCACCACATGGAGGAAACCAGGAGAATAAATGCCCTGATTTCTCTCTCTTTCCTTCAAACTCTTGCTAGGGTTTCTAATTACCCGAACCCAATCAAAAACCAAAAAGTTTGGAAGTCCATTGCTGTAATCTATATGGTCAACTTTCCAGAGCAGAAAGCAGAGTGAATTGAATATTTACCCAAAGGGAAAAAAGAGTTTTCACCAAAAGGGCACCTGCATTCAAATGTTTATTGCAGCAAAATTGACAATTGCAAAGACATGGAATCAACGCAGTGCCTGTTGGTTCATGAGTATATTAACAAAATGTGGTACATATACAGCATGGAGTACTACTCAGTCATAAAAAAGATGAATTGGAGACCATTCTCCTAAGTGAAGTGTGTCAAGAATATAAAAGAAATATGGTCAGTTGATTTTTCAACAAGGGTGCTCTAGCCATTCAATGGGGAAAGAACAGTTTCTTCAACAAATGATGCTGAGACAACTTAATATCCACATGCAAAAGAATGAAGTTGTTGGATCCCCTACCTCATACTGCATTTTAAAAATTAACGCAAAATGGATCAAAGGCCTAATTTAAGAGCTAAAGCTAAAATTCTAGAAGAAAACAAGTTCAAATCTTCATAACCTTGTTTAGACTTAACCTTGTTTAGACAAGTGAACACCACTTGTATGCACTATTAAATTAGAACTAATGGATGAGCACATGTGCATAGAGGA